TGGTGCAACGAAATTGAAACAATTGAACATTTCTTTTTATTCTGTCATCGTTATTCTTATCAGAGAAAAAGATTTTTAGTAGCCCCATTACAAAAGCTAGGAATACAAGTAAATCTACCAGTAATTTTACCACTTGGCGGAACTTCATTTGGTTACTGCCACAGGGATGTATGCTCCGCTGTGTTTGATTACATCAACGCAACTAAAAGATTACCATGCTAGAGAACCACTACCTTTTCAGATCTTTAGTTTATAATTCGTAGTTATGTCGTTCAAAAACAAAAGATGGTTTGACCGCTTGCTCAGCAAACATTTTTGTTTTTTGGTAATATTATAAGCTACTTTTTCAGATTGGCTTCATTTTCAGTTTAGTTTCATTTAAGTATCCTGCCGCCCGGTTCTTGGCCCATCCCCCTTTGTGGGTAAGCGCCATCCATCAGAGGTCATAGCATCAGCATCATATGCGCAACGGTGCGTTTCAAATGACTGGAAACAGCCGAAAACCACCAGAGGATCGAGCTTGTACAGACGTCGTCTTTGCCAACTTCAGGCTAGATTTGATACCGCAAAATAGTAATAATGAAGGGAAAACGAAATCCATAACTCAACACAATATACCATTGATGACCAACAAACATTGTGTACACCAGTGGTAGGAAACCTTCGCCAACTGGAAATTACTGCGCCATAGGGTCTTTTTTTTTTTACTAATTTGCGCCATTTCTGCGCCATGAGATAGTTTTAAAACCGAAAGTAATGTTGACAGCATGCAACATGAGTGGATATATTACATGATGGTCGCCGTCTTGTACACTTGCGCTGCTGCAAAAGCACGGAATCGGCCGATCAATTATATCGACTTCCGCGAGATTGCGGTGGTGCTTTTGCTAGTAACCATTGGCCAAGAACGAAGGCTGTGAGGCGACTACTGAAAAGCGCGCCAGTATGACTTACCGCCGACAAAAAGCCTACGCCTGTGGCGTAACACCGCCTTTAGCCTGCTGCACGGTTTTAATAGCCGTGCCGATCGCTGCTGCCTCAGTTGTTGTGCGGGACCGTAATCAGCGTGCACCGCGAGGTGCACTGCTTTGCAGATACAAAAGCAGCTCGCTGTTGCAGAGTTGAGTGTTGTCAATCGTGGGCACCAAGACTGCAAGCCTAGCAAACACTTTCATGAGGCGACGACCCAAACACGCCTCTCTCCGCCGCCAGGGCTGCTGACGCAGCAGGCTTGTCGCCGCATCTGTGCGCGACGTGAAGCAAGCGGCTCGGCACGGTGTGTACGCCAAGTAAGCGAAGCAACGCACTCAACTAGCCAGACGAGCGGCTCTCTGCTACCGTGCCGCGTCTCAAAAAATAATAGTAGTAATAATAATAGTAAAAAATATGACCGTTTCGTCGCTGTGTCAGTCGCTGCGTTGGTTGCGTATCCCGGGCTGCGCGCAGTAGTTTCGAAATGCTCTTTGGTGTCGCCACCGCATGCCATCGGACGGTCGATTGAAAGTGCCAATCGTTCCTGATTTAAAAAAAAAATTAAATAACTTCGTGGTGGGCATCCGCTTCAGGCAGTATCTGCTGTGGCACTGCATTTATTCCATCGGCGATAGCACACGTAAAGAATTGCAATCTTGAGGAGCATGCTTCGAACTATTAGACGTTAAATATAAAAGGTCGTTTGTTTTCGTTATACGGAGAATATTGTGTCGTAATGTCGCGTGGGTTTAATTAAGCGACCGCATTTAGCTGGCGAGCCACGTAGAAGCGCTTGAGTACTTACATTTGGGTACATACTTGTAAAATAAACCTAGGCCGCTACTTGTGATCCGGATATCTACACTACACCGTCCTTGTCTTGTTTTTGGTTTAGCGCTGTCATATACATATATCGCACACACCCGCACTTTACTTTCCAAAATTTTGGCATAGACTGCTCGTTTCTTTTCCGAGGTGTTCATGACAGTTGGCGTTTTCACTCGAAGTTTTGTACTCCGAAACTTCAAATAAGCAGATTTTTTTTATGAACATCTCGATATTATATTGTAGGTACATTTTATCGCAAAATTAGATAGCAGTTGGTTGTTACTGGCTGCCTGTGTGGCTACTATTCCCTTTATTTGATAGCATGCGCTGTATATTTAGATTACATATCCGAATACATCTGCTCTTGAGCGTTATTTGTCTGATACTTTTACATAGTGAAATTATGCGCTTTTGAATTAACTGTACATGTATGTGTCAACTACATGGCCAGTTCTCAAAAAATAAAAGCTTGGATTATCTCCCCGAAGGTAACCCTGATGGGATGCGAAGAAGCTGCGTTGCGCACGGGTGGCGTCAAGGGTTGAACGGCGCTAAGGGCCGCTCCACGCGCTTCCCGCACAGCCGCACAGCCGCAACGCACGTTCCGGTACCCCTACCGCACGCAAGCGGGGTCAAATAAGCCAATTGGAGACGCGGCGGAGGGTGAAAGAGCGTCTGCAATCTTGAAGCCAGAAATTGATCAATTGCCATTGTTCCTGCTGTATATAGCTCCCGCTGCTTTCGGTCTGCTGCTACTAACGCAGTAAAGCCGGGCAACGTCGTGCACGGCAACAGTGACGTGAGATGGTCCGGTCGGTCCGCTTCTTGAGGCGGGTAATTTGAAGTGCGCTAACCCGATGCGGGGCACTAAAACGTGATTTTATTCCAAAATAGGCCGTTCTTTGGCACGGAAGTAACACTACGAGGATTCTGGACCGTTATTTCAACAATCAGCGTCGACTTAATAGTTGGCTTTAGTGTCCCTTTAAGGACTGGCACTTTGTAGTGAAGGATTTAATTTTCACTCGTGCCTTAATTGTAGCCACCAATCAGATAACCTCCTCTTAGTTATTTCTGCCCGTTTAAGGTCTATTGTGCCCTCCCTGCCCCTAAACCCCAGTGCTTTGAAAAACTTTGTGCCATCATCCTGAACTATAGGGTGAAGCCCATATACTGAACATTATCAAGTGTTCGGCAGTTTGCTCCTGCTCTCCACACTCACTGCTTACCGTGTCTACCCCTTCGTATTTGGCTCGATAAGTCTCGGTTCTATCTCCGTCATTACCGCAGATGTCTATCAATCCCTGCAAATCTTCCTTGTTGTCGGCCATTAGCACTATATTCTCTGCGTACATAAATGCTGCTGGTGCATGTTCAATGAGTTTTCCTTGTTCAACGAAAGAGACCCTGAAGCCAAGTTTACTCCCCTCTAATTAGGCCTCTAATCCCTGTAGATACATCATCAATAACAAGGGCTTTTCCCATACCCGTTTTTCCCATTTTTATAATATACCTTGTTACTTTTATAGATATCCTTTAAAAGCTTAGTGACTCCATCTTCCACACCTAGTGTGTCCAGCATTCCCAAGTCCTCTTGAACCACGCTATCGTACGCTCCCTTGACATCCAAAAATCAACGTGAACGCGCAGCAGCACCCACTCACCGCGCCAACATCTGCGGCGCGCGCCACGTTCGTACAAAGGGACAGCGTTAGGCTTGTCAACACAGCTGCCTCGAATGTAATAAAATTTCTTAGGTTCTTCAGTGCACACTGTATTCGTTGCTAAGGCCGGTTCTGTGATAAAATGGCAGCCTAGAAGATGCAGATAGATGCTGGTTTTGTAAAAATTGCCTATCTTGGTCGCCAAGAAAAAACAAAAAAAAAAGGTGACGTGTACCTTTTATAGTTTTTATTGTTATTATTATTTCCCTTTTTTAACGTAGGTCGACCACAAGGTCAAACGGAGCGCGTCACTACCATCGTTCCTATAGTTTTTGGAGCTCCAGCTACGATGTCACCGCGGGGGCTCGATATATCCCGCGTGCGGCGGAAGTCGCCGTGCTGACCGTTTCATGGGAGCGTGGGTGCGTTTACATACGAAGATGACCTGAAAATACTCCCCGCGAGCGTTGGCCGTGCCAGAATCGGGCCTCATTTCATGGCCGAGTGGTGCACGTCCCGTCAAAAAATCTCGAGTGTTATGGCTTCCCGTCGGGAGCCGCTTCAAGCCCCTGCATCCGAGTTACCAATCTTGAAAGCAGACTTCCTCCTCCCTGCGATCCGCGCCCGCCCGCTAGTCGCTTTTTGTTTTTCTCTTCCTACAAATATAGCGCGGGCCGTCCTTGCGAGCAGGCGGAAGAGGCCACTGCCAGCTGAAGCGCATCACAGTGTTTCAGTTTTCCGGTGAGTATGCAAACTCTGCGCGGCTGCTGCGAACCTACGGGACCGCACCGCGTCCATGTCTAGGTTCTAGCTCGCGCACGAGTCGCTGGCGGCAAAAAAGGGTGCTTTCGTCGTCACTTGCTTTGGTGCTTGTTGGCATTCCGTCAGAGTCACTTGAAACCTTTGCGCGGCGAGCCGTTCTCAGCCGCAAAAAAGAAAGCGGCTGCCGGGTCTTTTAGTTTTGGGTGGGAATCGGCAGCCTGCAGCGTCCTCTGCGAAGCTTCTGGGCCAATTCTATTTTGGGTGGAGGTCTATTGTTGTCTCTCTTGTCTCCGGCTCAGATCGTTCTTGAACTGCTACAGGTAAGTGGCTGCAGTTGTTTAGCTTTGGTTATCGGCTAGCTGCGCTTGTAGTTTTCGATGAGCGTTGTTAAGAACGCAGTTTCAGTTTCGTTACTATTCGTGATATTAAATAATAAAATGTCTTACTCGCGTCAGGCGTTTTTTAAGAATAACAACGGTGGTTGCTTTCTTTTTCTTTTGCCCGCTTCTCTTGATTGATATTTCATTCGCTAGATCACAAATTAAGGTATCTACCAGTTAAATTTTGTCAAACAAGCCACATAGCTGTAAATTTTGACGCTGTACGAAATATCAAGCTGAATATTTAACGAGCGCAAACTCTTCAATTATGCAGCTAATGAAAAAGCAAAAAAGAGGGAGTGTAACAAGTCCCCTAGAGCAAAAATACTCCGGCGGGAACATGTGGGCTGCTCATATTTACATATTCCTTATTTAGCCGCTCGGAAATCGAGACAAGCCAGCCACAAGCCGAGTGACGTTAGTCCGGCGGGTTGCGGGCGATTTTTTATGCCGGTAGTAGTTGTGCAGCGCACTTTGTCGGCGCTTACTAAGGGTCTTTCGACCAAAAGCAGCGTGAGAATATCCGCAGCCGTATTGGTCCAACGTCAGAAAGAAGCTCGAGCTTTGCACGTGCGATCGCCATCGGCTAGCAGCACTTTCGGGCGCCGTGTTGCATTCCGTCAGCCGTTCCTGTCAGGATCCCGTCTTAGCGCGAGCCAAACGATGTCGGAGTGCAGCAGCCTCGAAAGCATTCCCGAAGTGAAGCTCGACAACGGACGGTTCAAGTACGTTCTCATCAAAGTGCACGACAAGACTGACCCCAACCGAAGCAAGCTGCTGGTGCGGGGATCTGCATCGGCCACATACCATGCGGATATTTACGAGAGGGAGATGAGCAAGATCGAAAGCAACAGCGACTTCGAGACGGAGTGCTTGGGTGGCGGCAGGATTATCCACAATCCGGACTGCGGCGAGATCAAGGTGTTCGGATACTCCCAGGGATACGGCCAGGCGGATCACAGCAAGGCCGTGGAAATACTGAAACGCAACTTCCCGGACTACAAGTCCATTACGTGGTCGAATGAGGGATACTAACCGTGACATTTCTTCGCAATGTATTGCCACATGTATAGTCCAACTAGTAATTTATAATAAAGTAGCAAAAACACCGTTTTCTGCATCTTTTTCCAGGAAAAGCACCCGCCTAGGCTGCGCTAGGCGTTATTTGGTTCGTGCACTTCATCTAAAGTGAAAGCGCAGATTTCGTCGCTGTGACCGCTGTTAGAGCATCCAGCCAGTGACTTGGATGAGAAATAATATTGATTTCAGCGTCACAGTGTGCGCGTTTGCTACCGTTATGACCAAAGTGACTTCTATGAACAAGATATTGACTTAGCTAAGATGTTTAAAATAGAATGAAACGTCGTAGTTTTTTTCACGTTTAAGTCTGTTATTTTATTGTTTGTAGGGTAGCTGTGATTGTTGCTCCTAGCTGCAAGTGGTCTTTTATTATAAGCCTTTGCTCTGCAAACTGTGTTTAAAGTGCCAGACCGTGAGTATTTGTGTATTGAAATCATGATCAATAACACTGCTTTCAGCCAATCATGTCAGCATTGAGTGGTGTCCCAGATGTGACCTTGGAGGTTGGACGTAGCCGGTATATACTGTTGAAAGTGTACTTGAAGGAGGACGAAGAAACCTACAAATACGTCGTCCGTGGCTCTGTTCTAGCTGCTAACCATACAGAGGTAAGGACAGTGGAAATACTTCAAGCCTGACTGATGCTAAGTATTAGATTATCACCCACAAAGGATGTCATCTCTGCTGTATGGCTATTATTTCTCTATCAACGTAACATTTGTTAATCGAAGCTTAACCAACACAGTCCACCAGTGGTTGAGCTTGCTGCAACTATAAAGGTTGATGCAGGTGCAAATAACCTACTCCCACTGCATTTCTTCCTATTTTGTGTGTGGTATGCTGTGTCATTATTATTGTCTCAAGTGCAGGACTCAACAATCTATGCAACGAACGCACTGCATAACAATCACTGCTTTATGCACTACCGGTGAACTCTGGGGTAGTGCTTAGAGTTCGAATCACATTTGGAATGCTCCACAAAGGCTTTTTCTTCCATTGTATACCGTAATGCATTGTCTCGAAGTTGCCAGCATCGACCAGTGGCATCAAAATGGGTCAGCAATCATGCGGTCAGTGTATTGCTCATAAATTGTTCAGTACCATACTCGCCGACACTGGAAAAACTTGAGGACAGATGACTCATTGGTCAAATAAAAGTTACGGCCTGCATTAACCTGTTATGCTAGCATGAGTGGCCCTGGCTGTGAGCAGTAGGAAAAGAAATGAAGTGGTTCTTACACACAGTATGCAAGATGCTTTGTATGTGCTGCATCATGAGCAAACAGTACTCTCTATATTGTTAACATAAGCAGAAATATCTTGCTACTTTACTTGTGCATCATTGTAGAAGTTTAAGGTGCACTGCGCTGGTGTAAGGATACATCACAAAGGTCACAGTTGGGTCATAAGTGTCAGGATAGTATAAAAAAGTGTGCACGTAGTTTGCAATGCTTTTCCATAAATTAATTGTAGTCCCACATGGCATTACACTGTGAGGCACATTACAACATGTCATGCACATATTCTCGGACTTGAACAGTCGTGCCTAATACAAGTTGCAACATGCTGCTGGTGGTCAAAGCAGCACCAACACATCATGGTAATGCCGACATAGAAAACAATCAGTGATATGTAAACTGTTTAAGTAGTGGTACACCCAAAGCTGATTTCACATTTGCTGGTGTTACTGCGTAGGCTTGGGGCCCGTTTAGCCATGGTCACCGTCTTTCAACTCATACGAAGCATCACTGTGTCGATGAGTGACCCTTGTGAACTTTATTCTAGCCCGACACTGACAATGTCACGTTGCCTTCCTGTACAGGCCGTCATTTTATGAATGCTAGCCTTGAATTTCTCTCTGGTAATTACATGAGAATATGATGCATCGGTTGTGAATTATTTTCTCACTTTGTTGCTATGGAAGGTGAAAAAAAAAAGTGACAACGAAATTCTTTTTCTGTGGACGCAACTTAGCCATCTACATTTTGCAACTATATATGTCTGGTAGGTTTGATATGCTGTCTGGAGTTGAGTAAGGCAAAACGTAAAACTCTTGTTAGCTCTTTGCAACTCAGCACTATTATAGCAGCATATATCTGGTGAAGTATTCAATATCAGAACACATAGTACTTCGAGTGTGCAACAGCAGTGGAATGCTGAGAGATTTCAGAGTACAAGAGCAATGTAGGAGGGTGCGATGAATGGTAACTGGTCTCATAATCTAAAATATCTCTATTGTGCAACTTCTCTATAATAGGAGAATAGGCAATGGGGCAGCATCGTATTGAACAATATAAACATTTACATGAAACTAGCTTATGATGAAGTTGAGTATGCAGACTTTGACCTATGTTGAAAGGCCAAATTGTCGTTCACCTTAAAATAACACAAACTTGCAAACAAAGCTCTTTAATATTTCCCGGACAAAGACTTTGGGCTTGAAAATTTTGACATGGAGTGTGGTGTAGAAGTTTGTAGCTTATTTTTTTTAGCTGGATGACAGTTCTCTCTTTTCACTTTGTCAATTTTGGCAAAATTGATGTGCCAGACCTGTACCAACTGCTAAATCATGATAAATACTGTGAATTAGAGCCTTGCACGAGCCGCATTTCCAAGCTCGAAAGCAGCTCAGACCTACTGACAGCATCGAAGGCCTGCCCTTGGCGTCAGAGAGCTGCAAGCCCGCCCAGCTCAGCCCTGTGTACAAGAACAAAATCCCGTACCCGATACGGCTCGACATTATGAAGGTTCGCTGTGGAGACAAGATGTCGTTTTCCAATTGTGGCATTTTATAGTATTGAACATACCAAAGTGAAACTTAAAAAAATTTACACACACGTGTGTCACTATATACACAGATTACAAGTTGTCAGGAAAAAATTAAAAGCTGTCCAATGAGTCGGGCTCCAACATATGCTGCTCACTGCCGATACTGGTAGCTGAAATTGCCAGTACCTTTTTCGCAACATAGTAAGCTTGGAAACTTAGGCTTCCTGTTCTGTCAGACTCAGGACAAGAAGATTATTCCAGGTATAATCACAACACTCATCTTGTGTGTTCGTTATGTGCTGGAAAGCAGTTGCAGCACAACATCCACATTTTGGGCTTGGTTTGGACTTAACAACCTCATAAACAATGAAGCATTCAGATCCTGGCCCGCACCTGAGATGAAGACATCTACCTACCCGAGGGCTCTAGCTTTCGGGCAACCCAAAGCTTATGCATACCTCTATTGTTAATGCAAACATTTTGCTTGTAACAAATTTTATATTGATTAAACTGAACAATCAAAAATGTGTTGCCGTTACCAAGATATGAATTCTCTTGTTTTCTGAGAAGTGCTGGCAGTAAACACTGTATAGACTGACCGATCGTTGCATCTTAGCCAACTAACTTAGCTTCGTGGTTCAAGCACATACCATGCTATTTTTAGTGTAAACTTAAACTTGGCACTTCGTAGTGCTTGCAAGACTGTAGCCTGAAAAAAAAAATGTACTTTAAAGTATTCCTTTGAAATCCAAACTTATTATTCTAAACCTATTTATTTTTCTGTGAAGTCACTTCTGTAATCATTCCTTAAAGGATGTAAGCATTTATTCGCATTTACTGCAATGCAGATTATTTACTTTATTGCTACAAAGCCTTGCACTTACAGAAAGGAACAGATTGCCAATTTTGCTGGTACTTATTTTCTTTAGTGCAGTGGAGAGCTTAGAGATCAAAGTGCTTAATAACTGGATGGTAACATAGGAAACAGCATGAAAGGTTTATAATCAGCATTTTTCACTCTGTGTCAAATGTGTAGTCACACACAACACATCCTACATAGAGTAGGTGATAAGCACAGTAGCAGCTCGTGTTTGTGCCCGGAAGTTTGATTGATATGTGGGGTTTAACGTCCCAAAACCACTGTATGATTATGAGAGACGCCGTAGTGGAGGGCTCCGGAAATTTAGACCACCTGGGGTTCTTTAACGTGCACCCAAATCTGAGCACACGGACCTACAACATTTCCGCCTCCATCGGAAATGCAGCCGCCGCAGCCGGGATTCGAACCCGCGCCCTGCGGGTCAGCAGCCGAGTACCTTAGCCACTAGACCACCGCGGCGGGGCGCCCGGAAGTTTGCTGCACATGCACCGTGGCTCGACACGTTCCACTAGTCGCCACGAATGCAGTGTCTCTTCTCTGTGTGAACTGCTTTTAGCTTGCAAGCAGTGCATAATAGGGTAGAATGGATAATAATACATACCCTAATTTTGATCTCTTGTTTGAGTGTGCATGCAAGCGTCAAACTACTTACAGCAATGTGACCAACTCCCGAATCCAGCTTCATTTCCGCTAGGCTGCCTAACCTTCCCTTTTTCTTGTGTGTGTGTGACTTTAACATGCAATGTGAAAGTATGAATTGTACTCAGATCGCAAGAAGGATGTGTGAATCTGGTGCTATAAATTATGGTTTGGTCACATGTTCTAACCAAATGTTAATCCTGGTAATTAGTAAGTGGTGTTTTGTATTAGTACACTATGCTAGGAATCCTGATGTTCCATGATATGAAACGGGACATTTCAGGTTTGCTTTTTCATGTGCACCTGAACGAGGGCTCAAAGTCAGGTTATGTATATTGTTATCTATATTCGCTCTATTCTGTGCTGCTTGCAAAGTAAAAGGAGTTCAGGAATGGTTTACTGAAATGTTTGCTTAAAAGAAATCCATTGCTGTAAGCAAACAAGAAATATCCAATTCATTAGCTATCCTACATGCAAGAACAAAGAGTTTAAAAATCACAAGCAATAAGAGTAAGAGTTAGCCTACATCTACATTGTACACATTGTGTGAAAAAAGCATGGGGCTTTGCTTATCCTATTTTTACATATGTGGGAGCGAAAACAATAGCATTCTGTTTTGTCTTTTGGCCAGTGCTATTGTCTTCCTCATGAGTGGCAAAACGATTTCGTGAGACCTGAAATAACCTGTGTAAAAGATCAGGTATAGCCTGTTTTGATTCACGATGATGGCAGCATGCTTCTTGCTAAGAGCTATAGTTATCCTGAATGAATGCAGTTGAAACTAAATCTTAGGAGACCCAATTTTACGAATTTCCTGATATAACAAAAGAATTTTGATTTACTGGTGGGTATATATATATATATATATATATATATATATATATATATATATATATATATATATATATATATATATATATATATATATAGGGTTCAACATTGTCATCAACTTGAATTAATGAGGCTATCGTGGCACTAAACCAGATTTAATGAAGCTTTCAAGGAAAAAAAATGCACAAGAAATTCAGTTATTTATTTTTAATTTTTGGCAGATGGGTTTTTTCTCCAGGCATGCATTGTAAAGCTATCATGTGGCAATATCTAGCTGCCATAGTTGCAGTTCAGCTTCATTTTGACCAAACTACACACAGAGCCCCTGCAAGCAACAACGGGCTTAGCAGTTGGAAGCACCGTAGCACTAGAGCTGGTGGTGGTTTCTTGTCCCCGTGAATGCTCCCATAGAAATGAATGGTTATTTAGTGGTTTATGTGACAGATAGAACTGATCGTTTCCTTGCAACATTCTTGCTCTGCTTTCTTGCACAATCACTGCATTCGTTCAACACGTCTTTGTGCGTTGACACCTAGTTTCAGGGGATTTGCCTCGCCTGTATTGCTCAGGCATGAGAGGCCTCACATCCAAGCTGCCCTCGTGGACTTCACAGGTGCACAGGCATGTGTTAGTGGAAAATAAAATGTACGTTTAGTAAAACTTGTTGTTGAGCTAGTTGGTGCATGTTACAAAAAAATTAGACAGTGCAAACAACCAAGGAACAATAGGCGAAAGGACGAGGGAGCACATTCTTCCAATCAAGAACAATCTTTTGACACATCTGCCTGCGGTGCGTGTGGATGTGAGATGTCACCATTCTAGGTAGAAGCAAGGAGTGTACTGAAGGAGAGATGCTGGAAGCATACCTTACCAGAAAGAAAAAAGATATCTGGATTAGCGATACGTCAGTGGTACTGCGTTCAGCTGAATTCGATTTTTTGGCAGGTTCCCGAACTAGCATGTACATTGAGAATGTCCGACTGTACGGAGACATACGGTATGTTACTTCACGTGTGTGGCATGGAGGATATATTGCCATGGTTTTGCAAGAATGTAGCGAGTCGACGCTTTTTCCTTTAGCCGATTCTTGCCCGCTGGTTTGTGTTCTCTAATTTTCTTGTGGCAAATGAAATGCTGCAGTAGCTTTCAGGTGCCACAACATTACAATTTTAGATTCTGATTGACTGAAAGATCCCTTTCTCAATTTTACAAGCTTCCTGATTTAAAAAAAAACAATTCGAATGCTGTCATCACTTCTCTAATCGAGTTTCAACTGTATTCTCAGACTCATCACTTTACATGGAAAGCCATTATGCTAGGTTTTTTCAAGAGGTATGAAAGGTCAGCAAGGGTAGGCATTTTTGGAAATTACACTTGGCAAAGAAATCTTATTATTACTGTGCAACAGACTTGGAACATGACAGAATGTGTGGCTATGATGCTACATATTAGTTTGTGCCTATGTGCTAACCTGGGAATCGTGGAATATGTGAAATTTTGCATGCACAAAAGCAAGGGGAGGGACAAGGGAAATAGCACGCATTTTCTAAAAGCTTGCCTCGAGTGCCACTTACTGAACTGCATGCGCACTTTAGTACAGGTGATATACTTGTAGACAGCTCACAAGCAACAAACCTGAACTGCAAGTGACCCAGTTTTTAATCTGGATTACATTTACACACTTTGGTTTTGATATTACCCAGGTGTATGCCGTCTCTATCGCAAGGTATTCATTAACAGGTTTCAAGACTGACAAGCAAAACCTTCGTGTACAAATTTCTTTTAGCTTGGGAAAGCATTTGTAAAATGAGTACAAACTGCAAAGAATTGGGGGAATGGAAAAGTATGCACATGTAAGCTTCTCCCTTACCTTCTCAGGATAAAACTTCCAGTACATTTGGTACTCCAATACGCTTTGGTAGTGGGATAATTAAGACAGCAAAAAATGTTTAAAGCATGGCAATGCAAGTTAACTATTGCAGGTAAAATTTTTTGGTTATTGTATGCGAGTGGAAATACAGACTAGTGATTTACTATGGTCAGGGGCCAGAAGGATACAGCACAGGCTTAACTTCAAGTACTTTTCTTCAGTTACGAGTTCAAGTACCTCATTTGAACTAGCAAATTATGTGTATAGCTGCCATATACTGCTTTCACTCGACACTTTCTCAAGAAGGTTATTCTCTCATTAAACAATAAGCCGTTCTTTTCATCTGTCTAGCTTTTCAGTGTTGGGTACTAATGAGGTCCAAGAATGGTGCTATTATAGTGAAACACCTAGACGTGCTGGATTACAATGGACAGTCACAAAGCTTCATTTAAATATGAAGTATAACCTTTCAGGTATGGTTTCCTTAAATAGTTATAACGTAAAAGTGAGGCCATTACCACTGTGAAATACTGCCAATGGAGTAAAATGGCAAATTTATTGTAAGCCTGACCTATTTGTGCGGCAACAAGACTTGGGGAGAATTACATTGGTCCATTAATTAATTCTGCTAAAGTCTGCTACATTGTGAACAAGTGGTCTACAATAACCGGACTGTTTATGAAAGCATGCCATAAATTGTTTTGTTTGACAACTATGCACAGTTTAATGCCACACAGGAGTGCAACAATGACAGCCAGGTGCAATAGAAAAGAATGGTAAGAGAAAAAAAAAATGTGTAGCTCATGCTCACAAAGGTTAAATGTGTTTGAGGTAGCACTGCACTTTGAAGTTTACTCTCAGACAATAGCACGTGCAGGACTAAACGAGTATAGAATAGAAACGCACAGCACTAATTAGTTACCGACTATACACCGATGTGCATGCAAGTACGTTTACTGTGCTTGGTTATGTTATTAAGTAGTAAACATCATACACTACTCTAAAGAGCAACTGCTTTGAAGCAGAGGCTTATTGCCACCTTGAAGTCAAACTACGAACATTGCACGCAGGTACTGGAGAAGGAGACCGCTGCCTTGAATGCAGCCAGCCTGGAGTGCGAATGCCTTGGCGGTGGATACATCATCCACATCCCAGACACTAAAGAGCTTAAAGTTTATGGCAACTCCCAAACCTATGGGCAAGCGGACCATGCAAAGACAACGGAGATACTCAAGAAGCAATACCCAACTTACAGCTCGATCACTTGGAGCAACGATGCCATTGTGTAACAGCACGCGATTAGGCAAAGGCAGAGCCAACAGAAAACACCACCAAAGAGTTTTGTCGTTTGCACTGTTCCTTCTTAACTTCCATACACGAGGCAGCTTCTAAGGAGCTGCCTAGGTTGTGAATGATCCAACCAATACAGAGTGGTAAATAAAGTGAGCTGTGCCTATTAGTGTGTGTGAGTAGAAAAAAAAACAGTTTATTGTACAGAGATGACAAACAAAGAGTCCCCAAATGAAATGATAGAAACAATGGCCCTCCTGACCCCACATTGACTCATAATTCTTCCTTGGCCTTCTTTGCACCAGAGCGGTCGAAGCCCTTGAGCTCATCAGTGGCATGTTTGGCAATGTACTTGATGAAGTCGTCATGGTCCCGGCCACCATCATACCTCTTCGGGTTCTCCTTGTCGTTCTTCGGTAGCCAGTACAAAGTAGGAAAGCTGAAAATGAGAAAGAAGTCAACTTATGGCGCCCATCCTAAAGCAGTGCACGGCAGGTGCCAGCGTATTGTCAATTACTTACCCTGTGACTTCGAACTTCGAATGAACGTCATTGGCAGTGGCGTCCATCTTTACAATTTCGACATCCTCACCAGCAAGCTGGAAAAGAATGAAATCATTGTAGGCACCAGTTACTCACTTGACTTGTCACAAAACTTGCAAATGAATAAAATTATGTTTATAATATCAATGCAGGCTGTTGTGGACATTTTGAATTTCAACTTAAGTCCCAAACGCATGTTGATTTACAAGGTATACGTTCTCACTGAGACCCTGCTATTAGAGACAGTAGTGGAGAGCTTCAGACAATTTTTTTGACTACCTGGGTTTTTTTTTTTAGATTATCGCACATCAACATTGCATGATACTGTAGCCTTTTAGCATCTCGCCGCCATCTAAATGGGACTGCAACGTCTGGGACATAACCGACGTCTCTGATGTCAACAGACTAGCAACGTAATCGCTCAGCCATTGTAGCAGCTCAATTTCAGGATTGAGTGCACTTTCAAACGCCTTATAAATGGCTAAAATAAGCAATGTTGACTACACTGAATCAGCGCTGTTCTGAAGATTGTTCAGAAAGACAGTAATAGTTCTGAAAACTATGTTAGCACGATATTATGCAGTGCCAAGTCTTAAACCAAGATGTCACTCCACACAGCAAAGCTGTCAATTAGTGTGGCCTTGACAGTAAAAAAAACAAGCGGCATTACGTTTGCAATACACCCACCGTTTTGCCAACTTCTTCATAAGTAGGTGCCAACTTCTTGCAGTGGCCACACCAGGGAGCGTAAAACTCGACCAGAACATCCTTGGGGTTGTCAAGCACAAGCTCCTTGAAGTTCTCGGCAACAGCCACTTTGACAGGACCGTCGTTCTTCTCGGGCACTGGCTCAGACTTGAGATGCGCCTTAATTTTGCCAGCAACGTAGTTCTCGAGGAACTTCTCCAGGTTCTCAATGCTGAACTCATCGGTCATGCGGAACTTTTCGTTGTTGGTGTTACGGATGGCGACAACTGGCTTGTTGCCGTGGGATGACAGGCCGTAGTCGTCCATCTCTGCCGCAAAACTGTCCTTGTTGCTGATGGCAAAGTTGAGTTTGCCTTTGTAGTTCTGAGCCACCTTGAGGATCCTGTTGCGCCAGTAGTTGGTTCCTTAAGATGAAAAAAAAAAAAAAGTGCCGTAGCACACACACTCAAGACCCTATATTGATTTTTTTGCTGCAGGCGCAGTTCATAGTAGAAACACTCCAGTTGGCTTGCACCATTCTCAGGTTGCATGTTCAACAGTGCATCGTCGTATGAGCTCGAACGCACAAGTGCGTGACAAATAGGCTCAAAACAAATAAGTGGATGGCACTGCCAAAACTGGAGGGGAAAGCAGGGCGCTGTTCCACTCAATGTTGGCACTCCTACATGATCGTTGCTGCGAGCCGATTGCAGCTGCTAGTAATGGTAACACGAAAAGAAAATGCACAAAAAAAGTGATAGAAGAGAGTCAAAATGCTCAGCAAACACCACCTATATGTAACAAAAGTATGACCTGTGCATTACGACAGGCTACTGCACAGCCGATATCTTTGTAGCTACGCATAGCCCGATGGGTCATTGGTTGTTGCTGTGTGCGTTTATGCGAGCTCGTCTCGCTGCTTGCAGCCACTGATATGGATCTGCATTTTGCAGCAACGATAATGACTCGAGAGTGTCAACAGGTAGCGGAAATACGGCACTTTCCACTTTGTTTCCGACAGCGACCATTGCAGATCGGTCAATGCAGGGTTCAAGGCTATTCGACATGCGATCGCACTTGTATTGCTGACAATAGTACATGTCTGCCCAAAATCAAAAGGCTGAGGAATTATCGAGTTAACCTGACCTTTAACAGCTACTGTGCGAAAGAATACCGGCACATGCCGATTCACCTACCCTTAGCATTCTTTGTGTAGTCAACGTCATAATAGGCAACCAAAAGTGGGGCCTCGAACTGGTTGTAGTTGTCTTGAGTCCTGTGGCCAACAAGGCCGTGGCTAGAAGGAAAATAAAAAAAATCAAATACCTGTTCTAGAAGTTACCGACAATGTGTGGTAAGGAACTCACTAGTTCTCCTTCGCAAACTTCTCAAGTGCTGCCTTGTCAGCAGGACCATCGTAGACCACCTCACTTTCTTCAAACTTGTTCTTAAGTAACTTAGGCCTGTACAGCACAATTTTGCTGAAGAACGAAAGTATAAATTAGTAACGCACCGGAGGGAGAGAAGGGGGAAAGCTGGCACAGGAATTATTTACTTTGTGTGCCCGAACTTCTTGAGCAAATCTTTGTTGAATGTGTGGCCGAACACCCAGGACTCCCTTTGCTTGTCAGCAACTTTGAGGAAGTGCTCGTGAAGATCAACATCCTTGTTTTCGAAGAAGCCTAGAATGAGAATGGTGTCAGGATCTGCCCTACACGGATATTTCTACTACGAAAATCAACGCGCGCAATCACAGGCGGCATAATTACCAACAATGACGACTTCGTCCTTGTCCAGCAGTTTCTGAAGTTCTTCAGCACTCGTGCATTCCTTCGAGCTGGGCCCGACTTGCGAGCGCATGTGCTTGACAATGCCACCTGTTAAACGGATTTCAACCTGTTAGTCCTACCCGCCGCACAAACGCCGGGTGCGTGTTAACTTACTCGACTCCCGGGGGCCATTGTACTCTGACGAGAACTCGCCCTGCTTGAAGATCTTCAGGGTGGGGTACCCGCTCACGCCATACTTCGAGCAAGTCTCTTTGCCGGTATCCGAAGTGCAGTCAACCTAAAGGTGAAGTACACTTTGAGAGCCACGTCCTACGCATTAAACTGGAGATGATCATTTTTACCTTGACAAGTGGCACTGGCGGATCGTTCGTTTTAAGCACGGTGGCCGCCTTTTCATACTCGGGGGCTAACCTCTTGCAGTGGCCGCACCTGTAAATAAAATACGCAGATGGCATACAAACAACTCTGCGGTGTTGCGAAAAATCTTCGGAGACGCTGGCGGACTGGTTTTCCGCTTTGCGTGACTCACCATGGGGCGAAGAATTCCACGAGAGCTGTGTCGTGCTCTTTAATCTGAACATCGAAATCAGATCCCGAGTAGTCGAGGACATCGCTAGCTAGGACTGCCGATATAAAAGCGGCTAACAAAACTAGGTGCTTCATGGCGTGGCCCCAGCTACCGACGTGTCGCGCGAAGAAGGCAGAAGCGCCGTAGAGCCGGCTACTTAAAAGTTAAAAAACAACGTGGCTGTCGTACAGCGACGCCGGGCGAGCTGCGCTGTCGACGAGCGATTGGCTGAAACCGGGTTTGTAATCGGTGACGTTACTGCCTTAGTTGCCAGCGGCACCTGGCTAGCAGCGATTGTTGCGTTGACTACCCGTTTCGCCTATCGGTGACATTTCTTCGCCTATATATGGTGATTTTGCAATATTTTGTTGCTTCCGTGGATGTTGAATAGTGACTACAACGCTTGAATTGACAATCGTTACAGCAAGTGGTTACTTTCGTTTCCTTCCTTTCGCGTTTGTGGTTGCAAGTTGCAGTTTTTAATAGGTTTTACTTGCATTATGACATATTAGAGGCATGCTCAATCACACACGTTATATTTTTTTCCCAGCTTTTTTGCTGACAGTTAAAACAGTTGCTTTAGCTTAGATTCGGCCAGCACCACGGATAAAAAAATTAGTTTTTTTTTCCCGTGGCCAGCACACACGTGATAAAATGCTTCAGTTTTTTGAAATTTCTGCGAAAGTTTGCGATCTTTATAGTCGAATAGTTGCCATCCGTAGATAATGTTTTGTGATAGTTTTTCGAATATTTTAAATCAAAAGTCGTGACGAGAAAAGGTGGTACCTGCTTCTACGGCAAAAGACCCGCGTACTTGTTCATTATGATCTACTTATGTTTAAAGTAAGCATTACGCAACGGCACCAAAACTCTGTTTTCTCGCTGTATTGAGAAGAGCGCACGCCTACGCTGGTAGTATGAAAGGATATGTCATCTTTTATTGCGGTCAAAACAGTTCACAACCGAAAGTATACTGCGCTTATGTGGGCACGCATATTCGATTTGTATTCTATTCGGTCTCAAAAGAGTTCACACAGTCTGTAAATATTTAACAATGCAACCAACTTTAACATATGCAGCTGGCAGACGTGCCGTTTCTACAACGTAAGCACCAGATAAAAGCGAACTGCCAACGCCATGTTTACGAAGTTTGCGACCAGTTCAGTTGAAAATACTAATGCTACTAACGGTACCGTATATTACGACGTTTGGAATAAAATCAGGTTGGACAGGATCGTTACACTTCTGAAGCAGCGAAGAAACTTCCATTTGTGCGCGTGCACCTGACCTGCAGTGACCTCGTGTATGAACTACGTATACAAACTACGTAGTACGCGAACACAACGTAGAATGATCGTTCCTTCCTTTCTTTTTTTTTTTTGACGCATTTCCAACATGACAGCATAACAATAAACTAATAGATAATGCGAAAGAAGGTTTAAAAGTCGATGTGATAAAATCCTGAACTATATATATATATATATATATATATATATATATATATATATATATATATATATATATATATATATATATATATATATATATATATATATATATATATGTGTGTGTGTGTGTGTGTGTGTGTGTGTGTGTGTGTGTGTGTGTGTGTGTAGTGAAAAAAAGAAAGTCAATGCAAAGCAGCAAGCAAGAAGAAACCTACACAAACATGGCGGCGTTATCGTTGTGTTTCTCGATGTCGTGATCAAAGTGGTCGCCGATTAAACTGCCTTCCTATGTTAGATGACCGGTGATGGGACATCACGCTCCGCTGCTACTGCTATGGGGTCTCTTCACGTTCGCCTTGTTTCCCACTGCGACGAGTTGTGAGTTGCACATGCTTCTTGAACATACGTGCGCGTTATCCCGTTGGTGCGTAGACGATGGATGCGCCAACGATAATTATCGCCAAGGCTGCTTTATTAAAACAGTCCTGAGGGTCCGGGTTGCGCGATATTTAGGGCTTTCATCGGTAGCATGCGTAGATGATAGCAACGGGTGGTGCAACTTGGTACAACTAAATATCGGCGAACCGAGTGGGCGGCGCGCGTGCTGGCGCTTCCGGCTTCTCATGTTCGGCGGTCAGATGCGGGCAGTCTGTGTATCAACTCTATGGATGCGGGGTTCTGGCTCTCTTCTGTCTGTCCCTCTTCAACACTTCATCTGCGGCCCCCTTGTTTTGTTCACCACCAGAGGAAAAAAAAAAATTGCACAGCCGTCGCGAGCTTGGTGTAAAATGCAGCCACTTGGAAAATCGAAGAGTCCCACTGCTGCTGTCACATTTTTATTGGTTGCTCCCGTAGCATGCACCTGTGAGATTTTACGTTACAGAAACAGCATTATGCGGTCGCGATCTGCAGTGTAGTTTGGTAGAGCAGATCGCTTTGAATTAAGTTGTCTTTTAAGGACTCGAGTTATAGGCTGCGCACACTGACCGTAGGGAGCTGCATTGCTCACACTGGCTCGTCTCAAAGTCTTTGACATTTGCCGTCGCAGTCCGGGTTTAGGGGCACGCAGAAAATAGACGCTTGTGCGCGTCTCCTATGTATATCCCGGCCCCAGACCGCCTACAGATGCAGGGCGCGAGACGCTCGCGTCGCGTTCTATTGCTTTTTTTTTTTTTTAATCCTGTTGGCTATGTATTTTGGCGCTGCAGTCTGAGTGGAAAACTCGACTGAACTGTGCCTATACATGATTTGTGTTGCATCGTGCCTGCTTTCACGCGAGAAATGCGGATTATGCAACATGTTCAAACGGCTGATGTGAAGCGAGCTTCATAATTGAATCGTGTTTACGATATGTAAACAACACGATTGAATTAGTTGTGATCTTAATGTGCTACAACACCCATTGACAAAAGTAAAGATAGGATGCATACTTATCCGATGATGTACGATGAGTTGACTGCACCTACAATCAGAGCATATAGAATTAAGGTTATAAAAAATTGTATAGACCTTGGAATGCATTTCTGTAAAAAAAAAGTGAAAATATAGACAATTGAAGCTTTAAAGAAAGTGGTAAAATTTCGCTCTATGTTGCCACATGTGTGCTGAATTGCAAACATAAAGTCAAAAGGTAGTGCTTTCTACTGTTTCTTGCCACATGTCAGATGATAAAAGGACACTTATTGCATTTGTCAGTACCTTGTGTGGCATTCCAATAGACATCTTTATCGTAACAGTGCCTTCAAATTTAAACCCAACGTTTACACACTGAAATACCATTGGCATAAGTGGGTTAAGAAAAAAAAAAGCATAGTTAAAATTTAAATACTGTTTCTAGAACTTGCCTGCCGAGAAATAAAAGCTTTTTCCTCTGCAATGTCATGAGCACAAAATGTTGTTTCGTTACAATTTTTGTTTGTTAGTAGTATGTACAAATAGTTATTGGTAGACATTCCACGTGACACCTATGCTGCTTTGTGATATCTGCTCTCATTTACCATTATGTGCATTAAGTGAGCATTCAGTGGGCCTCAAGGACAATATAATTGATCATTTTATTTCACAGTGTAGCCTCCTAAATTGTAATTAACTACCCTTTACACTGTTACATTCATGATGAGTGCATTTAAGCCTTCATTCTTTATATGTTGTCATGGGAACCCAGACATTTGTCCCGATGGGTGATTAATGCATAAAGGCTTCTGATGCAAGATTGAGAAAGCTTGCTTTCATATCACTGGCGAATGGCAAGGCTGATTGCATTGCCCCTGCTTCACTGTCATGTTCCATGGCAGGGAATGAGTTCTAAGGAAACTAGGATAAGAGACAGTGCCTAGCTGGAGCAAGCTTCAGTCTCTTCTCTTAAGCTTGTGCCTCATGTGTGCCTCAAGCTGCCAGCAATGGCATTACAACCATAGAATTTGCCTCAACATTGGAATGGAAGAGCTGTTCTCGCAATGCCTTCTGTGACCACCAGAACTCACGTTGAATTCATGGGCATATAAATTAGTATGGAAGCGATTGTCTGCAACAATGTGTTCATTTATCTTTGCACATTTGTACTTTGCGAAAACAAGGAGGGTTTCCAAAGCAGGTATAATCGGTAGTTTTTTCAGTTCCCTCGAACTTTCTTGCCCAATTCAGCAATGTTTAACGATGTAAATGGCAGCGTGTTAATGCATTTTGGTGAGTTTAATATGCTTTTTTGTGAGAAAGGCCACACGCACAACTATTATGGCATAGTTTAGGCAGTGGGGGATACGTGCAATCTCAATATATGCCAGTATACAACTCTACGTATTTTCTGCATTCTACTATATTGCTCAACAAATGGGCTTCACTTGACCATTTCATAGAAACTTTATTCAGAATTTTATAAGTTTGGTTTTTAGCACAGCTGCATAGATCTTGCTGGCCTAACTTATGAATTGATTGTCTTGCAATGCTTCAGTTTTGATAAGAGTTTGTTCTTTTAGGCAGAGAGATGATGGTGTTCTGAAATGGCCAAAGTATAGATGATTTTATTTTGCTGCAGGGATAATTTTACACTGATAAATGGCCCATGCTATTTGAAAATGCTTATGCTGTCTCTTATGTTTGGTTTGGCAGCGGACTGCAGTATCATGAACTGCTATGCCAACTATAAGGATGGTTCTTGTGACAACGTGGCAGAATTTCGTGCCTGTCTAAGCCAATTGGCCAAGAAGTGTTCTTACGACTTGACGTATAGAGCTGTACAGGCCAGTCTCAGCCAACTGAACTGCAGTGATGCTGCGGCCACAGAGACTCCAAAACGCAGACCAACCAAGGAAACATGTCTGTGGCGTTCTGGTAAGTTTTGAGGCAAGTCATGCATGAACCTAGTGTGGAAGGACATCTGCCCACTTTATACTGCTTGAAGTGACACTAAAGAGAAACAGTGACCCGGTTAAAATAGACTAACTGTACTCTGAGAACATTAATGCTGTATGTTTTGATAGTTCATTATTAGCAGAGAAAATCAAGGATGAAGTTTCACTTTGAAATTTTGCACCAATATCTTCTTTCATAATGTCAAAATTTGAAAGTGTATTTTTCCTATTTGTACGACATTGGCTCAATGAAATTCTCTGAAACTCGTATGCTAGGTCTATGGCACCCACAGATGACAATGTATTTAATTTTTATTGATTAGAAGCTGTGAAAGACCCATTAGATGCCTTTGAAATCTATTACATCACTATGTTTGATGCGGGAATCTCTAGGTGGTGTGTCCACCCGCATTTTCTTTTCGCACGTTTTCTCACTCGCCAAGCACCGCATCTTGGTAGGAGTGGTGTTTTTGGAATTGCTACTAATACGCAGAAAATCGTTTTGCTCTTTAGTGTCCCTTTGTTAGTGTAAAGCAGGAGTCCACAACCTTTTGAGGAGACAGAGGGCCAAGTTGCACGAAGCTGTCCCAGCTGAGGGTAACAGAAAAATTTGGCTAATGGGCGCTCTTTTCTAAAGAGGATTAGAAATCCTGTTTATTTTCAGCACGCCTGTCACAAAATGTTGTAATCAAACATAGGTTACAAGCTAATTTAAGTAAAAACTGTCCTGTTGGCCTGCAGATAGGTAGTCGCAAGAAAAAGGGGGAGAGGGTGTTTGATGCCATACCGGAGGCCGCATGACACTGCTGCGGTCAGCGGGCCACAGCTTACAGACGCCTGGCTCAAAGTATATCCAGAACATTCTCACAGAAAGAGCTTAATTTGGGCAAGTTGGTTCAGGCTGAATATCGTTCCTGTCTCTGTTGGTCTTTCCTACTATGTTGCACTATACCTACAATGTACAAGACCCAGTCACATTGCTCGTTGCGAGTTAATGAGGCCAGGTAGCGGGATATACTCCATAGCAGTTAGCATTGTTTGTTTAACAAATTGGCACTAAAGGGAGTAAGTCCAGTTTAAGCATCCTACAAGTCCACAGTTTCAGTCCTTCAAATCAGTTTCAGCTTTTTTTTTTGTTACTTTAGATATAAATACTTCTTTTATATGTGTCTATGTACAATGACCCCCCCCCCCCCCCTCCTCTGTTGCACAGTACTATAACATTGAACACACAGCATAGCACTCACTACCCCACTGGAACTTTTGCACTTTGTAAGTGTGTATTAATAAACATGCATTAACATGATGGGGGTCGGAAAAAAATCTGGCTATGCCCCTAAGGAGTGCCAGACTTTGTGTAGTAAATTTCCTGGGACCTATAATTTTAAAACTTGCAATATGCCATGCATATTGGCTTTCAAGCTCTGCCTCTTTCCCTCTCAGTGACATTTCTTGTCATTTTTTTTTCACTAAATGTTTATCATCTTACGGAGTTTCCAAGTTTTGATGCATTGTGTCAACATGCAAGACTTCCCATTTCTTTCGTTTGGATTGTGATCTTGCTTTGCCTTGAAGCAGGTGAGCCCAAGGAGGAGTGGCGCCAGTGCATACTGTATGGAGACACCCACCTGCGCACTTTCGGGGGAGAGCTGCAGACTTGCCGTGCAATGGGTGCCCGGCCCCTCGTGGACAATGCCTATCTAACGGTGCAGGTGACCAACAGTCCTATTGGCGACAAGGCAACAGTGCTTTCCAAGGTTGGCATGAGTCCTTATCCACGATTCTGCATTGTTTATAGGGGATAATTTGGAAAGCAGTCTCCATTGGAAATTCATGCTCATATCAAGGTGCATCTCCTAAATTAATAAAATCGGAACATTCTGTGGTGTCCAGCTCCCTGTGTTATGCTCAAGTTGTGAATGGTTGCAAAATACAGCAACTTGTGGGCCGTTGCTAGTAATCTTGTGGCATAAAGCTTCAAAGGTTCCACTTAAGAGGATGCTTACAATTGAAAGATGCAGACAAGGGAAATGAACATGCTTAGAATGTGTGCAAAAAGGAGAAAAGTGTTCTTGAATGACTATTAGTACATGCAAGGGGCAGTCAGAAGTCGTGTACACTACAGCAACGTAATTTGTGGCTCGCATGCATATTGACTTGGCGGGTTGCAACTTTCATAACATTCAATCTCCTTGTTTGTCTTTCATTGCTGCAAACTGTACACAATGATGAGCCTTGTTATTTTTAACTATCAGATTTATTCTAGCACTGTGTATTGTGAGCATTATTCATGCTCAAAATGCTTTGGAGGAAGTAGCATGAATGAATGAAGTGGTGAAGTTGCAGAAAGGCATTCTAAAATGAACTATATTGACAAGAATAGACGAGGCAAGCCCTAAATAAAAGCACGATGGAGCAAAAGCAGAGGGAGAAAATCAGCTGACATCTCTTATAAGAAGCACGCTGAAAGTGCTTTCTTCACAGCCGGTGTGTTTCAGTCGTCGAACAGGTGCAGATGCATTGTCATCCATTAGTAGAGCGAAAGTGCTTTTGCTGCGCCAAGAGCAGCCAGGAGCAGTTTGTAGTGCTCTCGCCTGAAAAGCGGAGTAGGCGCAGTACGACGAGTCGCGTGGCCCTTCAACGTTCCAGTCTCTGAATTTTTATTCAGCTGGCAAGTGCAGCAGCAATGGTAGCAACCATGTGTAGTTTGACACTGCTGTTTTATATGGGTGGCTACGATGACAGCTAGACGTCTGCCGAATGCATCGTTGTTCAGACATACTAGGTATTAGGATAATGAAGAGCGTGTGGCTGACCGGTTTCACGTTTATTTTGCTGCTGCCCCACTGAGAATAGGCTGGGGCTTCAAATGTTTTGACTACGTGGTCTCCCCACTCATCACCCTTTCACCTACCTTCCGGGAGCGCGCCGCATTCCAGTGGCAGGTTGAGTGGCCCTGCTCTCAGTGCCCTGACTCCACTCCTCACTGCCCGGCCCCTCTACTCCTGTTCCCTCAATGGAATTCGCCGTAAGAGTGAGGAGCTGTGGTACTCACCTTGAGGAGAACGTGTGAACTGGAGTGATCAATCTAAATAAAGCCCTCAGAACTATGGCTTAGACTGATGTTTATTATGACTGTTGGCAGGGTTTTGTCTTGGGGGCTGCAAAACTGTCTCTGGTGTAGCTTGGGCGAAGGCAAGAGCACATGTGGCTTGTGGGGTGAAAATGTCCTTGCCGGCACCCATGATTTTTATACAGGCATAATGAAAATATTCATTTATTTTTCTTTTTGTTGTGTGTGTGTGTAAAGAAGACGTTACCAGCTTAATAGGGGCTGTGAGACGGTCACCCACCAACTCGTAATTTTCAGCAAAAGTTAGAAATGGAGGGTCTAATGTCCCTGAACATGTATAAAAAATTGACTACACTCCAACCTCGTTATAAAATAATGGATATAACGAAGTAAATGAAATTCCCTTTGAAAGCTCCATTGAGAACCGTGCATTTTAAACCTCGTTGTAACGAAGTAAAATTGACCAGTAAATGGATATAGCAAACTAAATCAGTCAATCAAATAGTCTATCAAAAAAAAAACCACAGTGGGTAAAGTATATTGCTTTCTGCGGAGTTTGACGCTCATTCGGCGCGGCTCTTTCAAAACTCCCGCGCTGACCTTACAGCCACGCCACGCGCGGCCGAGAGAGCCCTCCTCCTCACAAGCCAGCGGAGTGGATTGTGAGGAGCTCAGCAAGTCACATAACCGAGAAGCGGCGCCGCGGTGCAATGTGATTTCGCTCTCACTTATACACGATGGGGAAGCTTCAGAAAACTAACATTCACAAATCAGAGGACATCCGTCATTAATTGAAGTAATTGCACGTCTGCACATGTTTACCTTGCAGCGAATCAATCAATTTGGCGCGTAGTTTGCAAAGCGTAGTAGCGTGCAACTAAGTGCAGCGCCAACGCTGTCTAAAGACGACAGCAGCAACTGCGTCTCCACTGCTACCCTCTGCATCGAGAAAGGGGGACTCTCCGGGACAGCTTTTTTTCTTCCTCTCTCTCCGCGCGTGGTCTTGAAAGGAGAAGAGTCTCTACGCGCAGAGACGGAAAAGGGAGAAGCGTGGCACAGGCGCCTCACAGATCGGCATTTGAGAGAGAGCAAACAATCCGCCACAGTTTTTTTTTTCCTTTTCTTTTTTTCCTTCTTCGCGCGCAGCATTGAGAGGTGCCGCCGCAGGATTGGGAACGGTGCTGAGAGCATTTTCGAAGTGTGGTATGTTTGAATTAACCGTCGCAAGTGCTTGCGTATTCGAATTACAAAGGGTTTTCGCCCATTGGAATACACATAGCTTTGACGGGACCACAGCGTGAGTTCGAATTAACCGAAAGTTTGAATTAAGCGTGTTTAAATTAATGAGATTTGACTGTGTTTATTTTCCGTCGCACGCGTGGTCGCATAGCGGTACATGGGGCTGCGAGGCGGTTTCCTTCTTTGCATGCTCATAGGTGTGCGCCCATCTGAGCTTACATTGCCACAAACTGTTATAATTGATATATTAAAATTAACAAATTAATTGTGGCTCCCGTTTAACTTCGTTATAATGAGGTTTGAGTGTATACATGAATATTTGGATGCTAGACTATCCCCAGAAATTGCTTGTGGCTGCCATTTCACCATGGCTTGTGTGATGTCATGCATTTCATGAGATCAAGCCGTCGTCTTCTGCCATAGTTTCAGCCACTGCGAATTGTCCAGTTTTCAATTCCAAGCTGAAAAAAGCTGACATTTATCTATTGCACATACAGATGACATGGTGTTGTTCGGAATACAGGCGCTCTCAATGCAAGGAGCACCAGACTACACATAACACAAATTATCAGTGAAAAGTTGGTTTCATAGTCTCTTTAAAAAGGGTGAAATACTTCATTCAGGATCTTATTCTAAATGCTAGATAAATGTAGTCTTTTTGTGTAACTGTAATGTAAATCTTATGTCATCTTAACTCTATTAGCTATCATTTTTGTAAATAGCTTGTAGATAACGGATAGTAAGCTGATCGGCTTGTGATTTTTCAAGTCTTTGACATCCCCTTTCTTATGACGATGTTGGCATTCTTTCAAGATTCTCTCACCCTTCCCATCAAAAGCCACTTCGCATACAGGGTGGCCAGTTTTTCTAACGCAATCTCTCCATCATCTTTCAACAGGTCTGATTTTACCTAATTCTCACCAGCGGCTTTGCCTCTTTGCATTCCTTCTAGGGCTTTCTTTACTTCTCCTGTCATTACTGGTGGAAGATTCCTCATGGCTATTACTGCTTCTTACGATATCATCCTGGTTATCTTACCTGCTGTAGAGATCTCTGTAGAACTCCTCCGTTACCTCAACTATCCTATCTATATTGGTTGGCAACGTGTGACCTTGCCTTCCTTGTTCCTTAACACTTTCGTGACCGCGCGAAATCCAGACATTTTTTTAGGTAGTCTATAAAACGTTATTTTTCATGACACCCAAAGTTTGTAATCTTAATGATAATAGTATCAAATTGTACACCAAGGAGCTATATTAAAAAAAAAGTCAGTTCTAAGCCACAAATTTATCAATAGTATTATGACAAAAATTATCAAATGACCAAAAATTGTGACATGAACAGAGAAATTTCATAAAACTATTAGCACTGCTCTAAACAGAATAAGCATAAAAAAAACCGAAAATATACATTTTAAGAACAAAGAACACACAAAAATATCTTCTAAATACAAGCGCTGTAAATGCAAAAGTTTCTGCATACAAAGAATAACATTACATGTGATGTCTTTATGTCGCTGTGCTAAGCAGTTTTGCAATGCGCTAAAACACAGGTTTGGGGTGCATGTTTCACAGAAAACATTTGTTTTGTGTTCTCTAAATAACTTGAGTTGTAAAAAACAAAGTCGACAGCTCTCGCAAAGCGGCACGCGGCAGCACAGTTCCAAGGTTCACTCCCGGCTGCCTCTCACACGAAACTGCACTTTCTGCTCTGACGCCAGAAAGGGGTCGCGTCCGAAGGATCTGGACACCCTAGAGACAAGATCCCCTAACCTTCAGAACACATCGGTTCAACTTACACCGACACGAGCCGACCATAACACGGCCCGAGCACAAAGCTACTCTCATTGGCGGACAACCGAGGATGTTCCGGGGCAGTTTGGCGAAGTATCGTCGTTCGTGCTGAAATCAGAAGCATCGATGTCGGCTTGCGAGCCTGTGCTGTTGTTATCATTTGAAGATTCTAGCCCAGATGGATGAGCATACTCCGAAATTTGCCCTATTTAATGAAGTAGTCACACGCGATGCCGACACCATCATTGAAACTACGCACGCTCACCTGCGCGTAAAGAAAGATGCTTTAAAATCCCCACTAGGTGAAAATCAGAAACACAAAAGCGAAAACGGTAAATCACTTCTCCTTTACACATTGGATAACATAGATGTCCACAAGCTCTCGGAACAGGACAAATATTGAAGTTGTAAATACCGACAATATACTATTGATGGGGATAGACCTGGTCCCGAAAGTGTTTATGCATATATCTGATTTTTGCCTATACACAACTTGGGCTTATACACAGCTTTTAGGCTTGTTGCAGTCTTTATAGCATGCTCAATTCTCTCCATGTTATAACTTCTTATGTTGTCCACCATACGCCTATTGATTTACTTTGAAAGCTTTGTCTATTGCATTTGAGGCTTTTATGGTTTGACGTCTCTTAATAAGGTTTTTTCTCCTGGGATAGCTTGCCAGTGTCCTGTTTAGTGACTGCACCCCCGCCTGTCATTGCACACTCCTTAATAATACTAGCCCAGTTATCGTTCTTTGCATCAACGCTAACGTCGGTTTCCTTGGTTAGAATGACGAATAAATTCTGAAGCTAGACACTGAATTTCTATGCGCAATCTGAATGAGAACCTGATGTCAAGAGAAGTATAGGAAATGTTCATGATGAAACAAGCGCTGAAAATTAACACACTCAGAGAGGACACAAACGAGCGCTTTCTGTGTCCTCTCTAAGTGTGTGTAATTTTTAGCGCTTGTTTCACCATGAACCTTTACCAACACGCCCAAATGGCAGTCATGCTAAATAGAAGATGTTATTGGAGGTAATTGTAATTTGAATGTGGGGAAAGAAAAGTGGATGGAAAGATAACTTGCCACCGGCAGCATCCGAACCTGCCCAATTATGTGTCGAACAAGCAAAATGAGCCCTTAAATTTACACTTCTTTCCTCTATTCATAGCAGGGGTCTCGTTCTGGCAGACTTCGTGCTTTCAGGTAGTAGGCTAGGGATCATTGGTCAGCTACCAGCTCATAATAACATCACGTTCTATGTGACGCCAGCAGGCAAAAAGGGTGTTCCGCAATGGCAAGACAGCACGGACTGACACTCCCATGTTTAAAAAAAAAACTCTCGTATACTATACCCCATAAAGTGGACGCAAGGGGGATCACGGCCGTGGTGGCTCAGTGGTAGAGAATTGGTCACATTATTGTCGCAGGTTCAATTTCTGTCGGTGGCAAGTTATATTTTTGTTCACTTTTCTTTCTTCACATTGACATTACAAGTACTTCCAAAAACATCCGTTATACTTCTCTTGGCATTATTGTCTGTTACTGCTCATTAATGTATAAAAAAAGTGTACAGTGTTTTAACACAAATATAGATACAACTGCATACACCACTAAAAGGTTCATTTATGAGAATCGTATGCATCTTTGCATTCTTTCTGCCTGGGGGGCCAAAGGCTATTCTACATGACTTTAGTGAAGAAGTAAGAATATAAGCCTGTGTTTAATTTAAATAAGATAGGGTGGATTCAAGCTAATACAACAGACAATCATTCCATGAGTGGGGCTATCTCAATTCGTATTCTGAGTAGTTAGCTGTCTGTCCCTCTAATATGAGCCTTGTACTGGTGCCTGTCGTGTTGCCATCTCTTGGTCACTCTGTGAAAACTACTGTTTTGGGAAATTACAGTTTCATAATGATGCATTTTCTCTAGAATATAATGAGCCATCATTCAAGGACGAAACTTGTTCATTTTAGGTGACTATTGGGATCCATGCGCATGGAGGCTGTGCAACGGAAAAAACTTACGAAGCCGACATCAAGGACAACCCATTACCAACTGTTTTTGTTGATGGGTCACCTTCAGCAGGCAAAGGAGTTCGTCTGACACCACTCAATTCAAGCTTCGTGGAGCTTGTCCTGAGCCACGCAGGAGTCCGGCTACTGATCCGGCAGCAAGGCGACTTCCTCTCGGTGGCCCTGCGACTTCCATCCTCTTTTGCCGGTCACCAGCCGTCGCAGCTGTGTCTTCAGGGCTGCTCCTTATCGGAGCGCGTGCAAGTTCCCCAAGGGGAACCTGCTTGGCGATTGGAAGAAGCAGATGCAGCATGTCGTGCTGCGAACTTGACGGGGGCTTACAGGGATGCGTGTGTGTTTGATGTGTTGGCAACGGGACAGAAGGAAATGGCAGCCGAAGCCAGTGCAGCGGCTGTGGCCGACCTGAAGGAACTGGGTGCAGCAGCAGCTCCCCAAGTAATTCAGCAGCCCTCTGCGGCTGCGCTGGGAAGTGCATCTGCCGCAGCCATTGTGGCCAACCTGTTACTGACAGCATGGCTTCATTCAGGGTAAGTTTATAAAGCAGGTGCGCTGATCTGGGCAAGTATAGACCTTTTCAATGGATGGAAAGTGCGCTTACATTCTGGACTATGACGCACGAGTACATAGTCTAATGCTTTTTTTTTTTTTAATTCAGATACCCTAAAGGCCCCGAAAGGCATTACATAGGGGGGGGGGGGGGAGAACAATGTGTTGAGTACATTTCAATTCAAGAGCAAACACAGTCAAGAGCGGGCATGTAACGGAAAACGGTAGAAAAGCAAACAAACAAACAAAAATGAATGGAAAAGAAATACAAAGCAAGCGCACATAGTACATGGTTCATGGCTCTGATAATAAAAATCGCTTCAAGTGACTTACAAACAAATCGTGATTATGAATTGTGGCAATATCTTCTGGTAATCGATTCCAATGAAAGATGGCCAAGAACAACGGAGATTGATGAAGAAGATTAGTACGGGCAAACAAAGGGAGGACTTTGAAAGTGTGATCTAGACGCGGAAAAATGCGATGGGCAGGTTTGATATGCGATGCAGCAAATGACGACGCACTATGATAGAGCCGGTGGAAGTGACATAGTAATGCTAGTATTCTTCGTTTTTCCAGGGAGGGCAGCTGTAGAGATTCTTTAATGGCAGTTATGCTAGATGTGCGGGAATAGTTCTTAGTAATAAGAAGTGCTGCTTTATTTTGCAAGGCCTCCAGTCTGTTTGTTAAGTATGCCTGGTTTGGGTTCCAAATAATAGACGCGTAGTCGAGTTAGGATCGAACCAAAGAAGTGTAAGCTAAAAGTTTAGTTGACTGACTAGCTAAACACAAATTTCGTCTGATGAAACCGAGTGTTTTACTTGCCTTGGAAAAATAGCATCAATGTGTTCATTCCACTTAAGGTTGGACGACAAATAGACACCCAGATATTTTAGCGTAGAAACGTTTTCGATAGCTGTGTTATTTATAGAATACAAATTTAGGTGCATGTTAGTAGACCTAGTAAATGTCATAGCTTTTGTTTTGAAAGCATTTATTTGCATTTGCCAATCCTCGCACCAGTTAACAATATTATCCAGGTCGGTCTGTAAAGACATCACTGCTTAGACAATGTGTTTTAGACGTGAAGCAGCTCTTTGACTAGCCTGTGTAACACTGTCCCGTGCATCCGCACAAACTCCCTCGTCCTAGGTGTTGAAGTGGTGCTAAGTAGGTCAAGCCACAGCTGCACGTTAACGTCACTCTCTTCCTCACCTGCAGCAGCAGCCGGCTCCTCCGCCCGTCTGCAAGGCACTGCTCTCTCGCTTCACCCTCTCCATTGCCCGCAACGCTGTATCACATGTCGAATGGAAACAATAGACAGATTTACATTAACAACCTGCCTGACAACTTATCTTCATGCATGCGTATATTTGCCGATGACAGCATAATCTATCGTCCCATCCGCAACATTAGCGATAATCTAACTCTTCAAAAGGACCTCGAGCATATTAATGAGTGGTGCAAAACATGGCAGATGACACTTAATGTTTCCAAATGCAAACTAATCACCTTTAGTCGCAAACGTGATAACTTTAATAGCCAATACATAATTGATAATAGCATTGTGGAACGCACTGATCACTATAAATACCTAGGCGTAAAGTTAACTTCTACACTTTCGTGGTCCACACATATCACTTCTTTCTGTGCCAAAACATCAAGATCATTAGGGTTTCTGCGCCGTAATCTATACAGTGCTCCCTCCGATGTGCGCAAACTGGCTTATACCTGTGTCACACGGGCGCGCAAAAAGTCTTTTAAGTAAGCGGTCTTTTACGAAGTTGAAAGACTTTTCACAAAGAGGTGTTGCGGCGCAGACACACGGCAGCAACGATCTCCTTTTAGTGTTTTCGTTCGAAGACGCTAGCGAAAGCGTGGCGCTAGCATTTAAAAGAGAAGCAAAGAAAATTAAACGATGTATCACTATGTACAAATTAAAGACTTGTTGCACTGCTCGTTTCTTCAAATAAATTTAAGAATAAAAGATGAAGAAACACCAATGTGAAAGTTTGTTGCACTAGTTAAGAAAGCATTCTCATAACTAGCGACGTGCACAAGTCCGTTTGGCACCACTGGGCTTTTATTTACCGTATTCGTTTTTCGCTGCTCTCGACTGCTCTCGACACGTTATGGGCGACCGTACGGAAGAAAAAGCGAGGATCGCAAGCCTCACGGCCTGCCTTCTCGCTCTGGAAAGCGAGGCAGACGTGGAGTTAATCTGCAGAGTTGGCCATAGACGCTCGGACTCGGACCACTTGAATGACGGGCAAACACACGGCTGCCACGCTTTCCTCGCTTGTGCAAAATGGCGCGGCGCGAGACCGAGCGTCACCACGTGATATTGCCGACGTGTTGTAGCTGCTTACGAGAGTAGAAAAGGAAATAACCATTAAAAGAGTTCATTACACCTTCTGCAGGATATAAAATTTGTTTTTACAAAGAGTTTTGGTGACAGAAAAATAAGCATTCGCTCTTTTTTTCCCACCACTCGAAAATTGCTGGCGCCCACTGGTTTCGAGGCTACTCATTCGGAGCCGTAAAAGAGATCGACGAACTCCGTTTACGAAAAAGACCGCTTCTGAAAAGAAGTTCGCTCTGTGCCGTGTGTCTGCTGTCAGGAACTCCTTTTCGGAAAAAGACCGCTTACTTAAAAGACTTTTAAGTGTCCGTGTGACAGGGGTATTATCTTGCTCTAATCCGTCCTCAACTGGAGTTCGCATCCTCCATTTGGTCACCATATCAACAATACCTCATAGATAAGTTAGAATGTATACAGGACAGGGCTAGTCGATTTATAGCGCGTAATTACAGCTACCTGTCCAGCGTAACACGGATTAAACATAGCCTTGCACTCGAGCCACTGAAAATTTGCCGCGACATCTCACTTTTATCCCTATTTCACAAACTCATCCACACCAGTATGATGCCATCTGTTCACCTTAATCTAGCACATCAAACTTCGAGCTGACTACATAACACCTTTAGCTTATCACGCATGTACGGCAATACTAACGCTTTCATCCAGTTGGCTTTTCCACGAGCTATTCGTTTGTGGAATGACTTGCCAGATGATCTTGCATCAGAACAAGACCACACAAAGTTCTTTCATACTCTTAAAAAATACTTATGCACCAAAAACTGCTCTATCGCATCTTCGTAATCATCAGTGTTTATAGGACTGTTGCCGATGTTTTTGCACTATTGCTAGGTTGTAGTTACTGTCATAATATTTTTTTTGTACTTCACCTTCACATACAATGAAGGTGAAATTACACAATGCCCCTCGAGGGCTCTGTAAGGTACTGTAAATAAATAAATAAAAATAAATAAATTTAGTTGTGTGTTCGCAGCAGCCGTACGGACGAGGCCTGCCATTGCGAATGGCTCGCAAGCTGCATTCGTATGGCGATTACGGACACTTGAATACACCTGTCTACTCCTTCAGCTCATTTATATGCGATGAATCTTACACGACACCCAGCCAGTGCGCCTCCTGTGTCTTTGCGTTTCAAGCAAACATTTACTTTGGTAAACTCTACTCCCAGTTTCACTTCAAACCTTTCTTCTCGTCATTTTTTTTTTTCGCTGCTTCTAATTATTAGCATCATAAACATGTTGCGCTTGCCGATGCTGCTCTCATTCCAAGTTGTCGTTGCAGCTTCTCTTGCCGCTGGCTTCTTTGTCACTGTCTTTGAACAGTGCGCAATCCTCAGTGCCATCAAGTTCATTGCATATGCCACACTTTATAAAAGAGTGCACGATAAAGGTCCTAGGTTGTCGTCTTACACTGCAGCCCGTGCAGCGATGCACATTTTTTTCGTTCACTCCGAAGTCCCGCTCAGTTTGAACATTGGACGATGACTCCCTGGCTAGGACAACTCTCTTTTTATAAGCTGTACTATAATGACACTGCCTGTTTGGCCCCATTGAGCTACTTCACAGACAGACCACTCGAAGCGCAACTTGAAATTACAAACAGCTCGCTTCTACAATCGCCACGAAGATCAAAGTGACGACCTCACGTGTGTACTTAAGCCAGGTGTTGGCTTGGTTACTGACGTCTATAATACCGTCTAGGTGGCGCTAGTTGTAAACCACTTTTCTTCATGAAAAATCAAAATCCTCGAATCTAAGCCGACCCTAAAGTTTGATGCAGATGCAGAGGAAATTGAAAAGAACTATCAGGCTAGATTGGAATAAATACGATACGACTCTGGAGTTTGATGCAGAGGAGTTTGAAGAGAACTATAGGTCTAGATTCGAATAACTACGATATTAACGCATGTAACCCCCTGCAAATGTGGTTTCACTGCAGTGCAGGGGTGTGGAGCAATGAAAACATTTATCTAATTTTGTATTAATTCACGTAAAATTTTTTGTAAAAGTGGTTTCACTGCAGTAGAGGGATGCTAAGCCATGAAAACACCTATGCAGGGGAAATTTGCACTGTTACAAAGCTTCGTTTGAAAGTTAAATGAACAGAATACTCTTGCATCGAGTCATAACTTTTAAGATTAAAAGCTTGTTATAATGGCTCATATGCTCCGAGCACAGCGAATATTGTAATGTATAATATATTTTACTAGTTATCAGTTGCATTGTACTGAAATTCAGAACCTGCTTTGTTTCCACTTCCTTTGAACCAAAAAGAATCGCATTTTCCACAGGCCTTGTTTTAAATAAAAAAAAAACATTTTAAAGCTTAGTGGAGAGTGACTAATATGCTCATTTTTCTTTATAATACGTGATATATACTATTCGTATTATTCGACCAAAATTTCTATTCACTTCGAATAAACATAAACCATAGTTCACTCTTTGCACAAGCCTAGTTTTTGTGGAGTGGGTATCTCACATTTTTACCACAGCCGGCAGGGGATTTTGATGGCAGCGAGAAAGCCTTCGTTGAATAGGTGTAGGTTGAGTCAGAAGCAAGGGAATGCACATTAAAGGGAAACTTATATTTTAGAATTTTACGAAATTTCGTGGTCAACAAGAACTGACATTATTATCGATAATGTCAAGATCTTTTTTCGTGGTTTTAGCACTAGGAGCTTTAGAATACGGGAAAGAAAAGTTTGTCTTGCTCCGCCCTCACGAGTGCGCCGAAAGCGTGGCCGTGAAAGCCTACGTCTTCGTTTTCTCTTGCGGAGCTATTCTTCACTCGACATAACGTTCACCCGCTCACTATACTCAAACTTTCTGTGGCAATGAAGGGAAAGCTACGGGGGCGGGGCTACAGCCCATGTAGTCCTCCACAAAGAAGTCCGGCTTGACTCGCTTTTCGAATGCTTACCGTGTTCGAATAATTCTACTGCAGAGAATTTGCTACGTCTGCTTACATAGCCATTTGTGAGTTAAATTCGACACAAGCTTCTTTGGTGAGTCGTCGTAATAGCTGGAGAGCGACTAGCACTCACCTAAAAACGAGGATGCTATTTTGACAGTGAGGTGTACATATAACGAGCGAGGTTTTCGAACGGTCAAAAACGTGAAATGACACTTCATGAAGCAAAACAAATATTAATCATCTCCTTGGTTCGTGCAGCATTTTTTTATAAACAGCATCCCGTAGACAATAAAGTTATGTTGCTTTTTATTATCTTCACGCGGAAAACACAGGCGCATTTGAGAGACTATATTTTTCGGTGGTCGCGCACTCCCACTTTCGTTTCGTAGCCTTTGCTTCATTGCCACAGAAAGTTGTCCCCGAGCATAGGCTTGTTGAGTATCACTTACACTCAGCCATCTGCAGATCTAGCGTAGCGAGACAGTGCAGGTATGATAGTGCAGGAGACTGCATAGATTTTGTGTTTTTAATGATCGTGTCTTGACAAGACGCAGTCAGCTTGTCTGCTGTAGTCCACGAAACCAAGTGGACACATCTTCACCCTCCACTCAATTGACTTCGTAAGCAAAGCAAGAAATGCGCTGTGTGTTCCGAGCGTTACGTGAGCAAGTGTCTCTCATATCTTCAACCATGGCCTCCGTGTTGCCAGAACTAATTGGGAAGGCCACGCTTTAGCAGTGCTGCTGTTGCAGATAATGCGACATACTGAGCATGACGTCACAGTGTTCACTCGGCGTCTCAGGAAGCCCAGCGGCCACAGCCTCGGTTTCTTCACCATAAAGTGCTATTTTCATTCACTTGTGAGAACTCTCGCATTGCTTTTTGTACTCAGCAGAAATCAAACTGTCCTTATATGCCCCATATTCATTTTTTTGAAAAAATGCTTCTGCTTCCTTTTAAAAGTAGCACCTTGGCTTAATCTCTTTTTCTTATTGCTTTTGTCTATCTCTGCCATTGGTTTCTTTCGATACTTGTTCTAGCAATGTTCTAAATTACCATTGTATTTTTACCTAAGCATTAATGGAACAAATTAGTTTTTACTGTGACAGTCAATGACAAACTTTCAAGCACTCGACTTTCAGACGTGGCAAGGGTCTGAAAAGTATCACACATTGATACTAGTCTTCTGAAAAGTTAGAAGTTGATTTTATTAGGCGTACATAATATACTACTGTAGACTCTCGATAAATCAAACTCTGATAATTCATACTTTTGGTTAATTCAAAACAAAATTAAATTTTTTTGGTTTGTCTTGTATTTTTTCAGTGTACTTAAAAGCCTCTTAATTTAAACTCCATCATTCGGTTAATTCATACTTTTTGCAGTCTCATAGCAGAAGATATCTGCTGTTTTCCCACTACTATTTAAAAATTTGCATGCTTATATAATTCTAACAGTCTAATAAAATGAAAATAAGCACCTCAGGCTTTCAAGGAAGAAGGCTTCGCTAGTAAACAAATGTTTGAAACAAAGCAAGGGCACGGTAAACCGTGATGCTTCTCAACTGGCATAGAGAGCTTTGTGCCGAAGGCACATACCTATAGCAAAAAAGCAATTTGGCAATTCATTAAAAGGTCTGATCAGCAGTAAATGGCCAATAAACTTGTGGACCTTACTCATCTGCTTTCTGTTCATTGCATGCAGTTAGGGTTTAAAAACGCTTCAAATTTTTTTAAATGTGATAAGATCCATGCCTATTCATAATGTGTGGTGTCGCCTCACCCAGAGTCATCTATCTGATAAGTTCTGATAATTCAAAGAAAATTCAGAGGTCCCTTTCAGTTTGAATTAACGAGGGTCTACTGTACTGTGAAGCATGCCGACAGTTTAAAGGGGTCCCTGTAACGTACAAATGTGCTTCCACTGGGTCTAGTTAGCATGGCATACGAAAGGGTAACAATGCGCTGCATAGATGCTCAGCGATGAATAACACAAGAACACGAAATGGGCATGGACCTTGCACAATGTTCGTGTCTGTTTCGTGTTCTTCATTTATTTGTCTCTAGACGTCTATGCAGGACATCGTTACCCGACGGTGTTGTTGTACTCCTTCGTACACATGTGCTCCTTTCTATGCATGGTACTCACCATCTTTGGTCACAATATGTCTGATGACACCTCCAAGAAGTGCAGTGACAAACCCTAAGAGCTGCTTCAGATGTTTCTGTGGTGAATTGAGCCCTCACGAGCAGTAAAAGGCATGAATTTTCGCCATTTAATTGTTCCCAGGGAATGAAAAAAGGAGGGCATTCACTGCGACTTTTGGCAGGAATTCGCATCTAGTACGTGGGTGAGGGGGACAGTGGTTAGGAAGCATTCTTGAGTCGGGAGGTCGTTTTGAGCATTTTTCGAACATTGCGATTGTGTTGTGAATTCTCTTGTCCACCACACCTTGCAGAAGAACGCTTTACTTGCTGTGTTGGAGTACGAAGAATATGAAATGAAAGCTGCTTGTTGGCTTCAGTGCTGCCTGGCTGCTTCATTCCAAATGCAGAATGGCAGTGGCTGCTCTACTCTTTTTCACCAGCTCCACATACAGTCAAACCTCGATGTATCGAACGGCGCGGCGATAGCGAAATAGTTCGATATATCCAGAATTCGATATAAAAAAAAATCACGAAAAAAATGTGTCAACAGCTTGCTGAAAACAATCAACGAACCGTTCAAGCGTTGTGCAGTAAATACTCACTTGAAGATTCAAACATAGTATTTATTGTGTTGGTTTAAAATATTGAAAAAGAGTAGCCTGCTTTTTGTTGGCCATGGCGTGTTTGACAGCTGCGTCCTCAATATAGTCCAGGCGATCCATAAGTGATAGGCCGGTGCCTTCACTTGCGCCGCAGTGACGGCGCACAAGGGTCAAGGCAGCTACGACCTCAGCTGATGTCGGGAGCAAGGCACCATCAGCACCTGCGGGATCCACCTCGGTAGAGTCTTCATTTGGCTGCTCAGCAGTAGCTTCGGCGACAATCTCCACATCCGTGAGCTCCCCCGTTCGGAGTTAGGCCTGTCGCGCATGACTGCGTCCTCAATACAGTCCAGGCGATCCATAAGTGATAGGCCGGTGCCTTCAATCACGCCGCAGTGGCGGCGCACAAGGGCCAAGGCAGCTACGACCTCAGCTGATGTCGGGAGCGGGGCACCATCAGCGCTTGCGGGATCCACCTCGGTAGAGTCTTCATTTGGCTGCTCAGCAGTAGCTTCGGCGACAATCTCCACATCCGTGAGCTCCGCCGTTCGGAGTTAGGGCTGTCGTGCACCACAGCGCGCGACAGGCCTAACTCAAAACGCACGAACACTGCGAGCACAACGACCGATGCCTGCCGATGCTACGGGGGAGAAGCTTGCAACAAGTGCCCAGTGTGCCGTTGACACCATGGAGACTGCAACGACTGCAAGCTGCGAGGCTGTGGCGTGCGTACGCTGCTACGTTAAAGTGGCACTCTCGGCGCCATCGATGTGCGCAGCATTCGTAAACGCCCGCCGCTCTACCGCTACTTTTGAGAGTTGCGGGAAAGCTCGCCGCCTGTCAATGGAGCGCGGGCGGTTTGGCGTGGCTGAGTTCGATATATCCATTGTTTGTCAAACTTTGTTCGAAATAAAAAACAATAATGCATGCGATTTCCCGCGTGATATAGGAACCGTTCGATATATTTGTGTTCGATATATTGAGGTTTGACTGTACTGCTTATTGGTGCGAGTCATGTAATTTGTAATGATAGCAGGTGTGTGTCAGTGAAGGAAAAGCTTGCCCATTGTTAACATTTTCGAATCGTTCTGTTCAAGAAACACCATGAATGAAAGTATTAGTGGCATATAAGGATTCTTGCTAGCCTAAACAACTCTAAGTGACACCACAAGCAGTTGGCACAAAATAAGCCATAAGTATATTTTGTATATACCACTATTGAGGGCTGAAAGGCCAGTCTGGTATGAAAAAGGCTGTGTGTTGCATCATAATGTAGCCAAAGCCATTTAATAACCAAGAAAAGTTGTTGAATTTAGCGGTGCACACATGATATGTTCATCATATTGTTTGTTTATTTACAGAAGCTGCTCTGTATTGCTTGGGGTAGTAAGGTAAAACAGTATTCACATTGCCCTGCACTTTGTGGAGGCCTTCAAAGATGAGGTAAGCCATCACGTTGCTGAACAGCAACCACTATACTATATCATCGGCTTGGTGTTCGACCGATGGTCGTGCTGAAAACTGCGCTTATGTGACGTCAGTTCTAAGATTCGCGCGCTTTCGAGGCGTGCCATTGTATAGAAGTTACCGTCGTAGTAAAACTCGGCAAAGACGCAGTTCAATTGGTGATCTTGTGTGTGGTAGCTATTGACACTGTTCTAACAATCATGGGTGTCCACTTTTAACACTCATTTTAGAAGACTATTCCTGACACTGTAGAACCTGTCGGGTATCGTCTGTTGGCGGCTTGTGTATGAAGACGCAACTTGGCATCTGTAGTGTGTATATTTCATCGGCCCAAGTGTCGAGTGTTATCACAGGACGTGTCGATACCATTTTCTTATCGGCTGAAGAAAAAATAGCCAGCGAACAGCAAGTGTGGCCAACGTGAAACAGCACTTGGCGTCAAGCTGCAACGGAATGAAAATTTGAACTTTTTAGCGTTGACACGGAACAGGGCGACCCCACTGACAGTGGAATAGAAATCTTGATCGTATATTTGAGCGTGTTTAATTACGTTCTCGGACTTGTGATTTGCGCCAACTGTGGCTAATGTGCTTAAGGAGCAAAGAGAGCATACTGCAGTGTGAAACTTTTGTGAAATGGCATGCTCAGTGTGCGAAGAGCGATTTACTTCAGTGAGTGTGACTGGAGATTCATCAATAACGTCAGTTATAAATGCAACAAAGATCATGCAGCGAGGAATGCCATGAAAAACAAGCTCGTGAATAGGCACCAACAGCGGACACTGCCTACAGCCCTGGTCAGCTGTAAAGTATAGATTGAAACCCATGTCATCACGGGAATTCAGATTGTGTTATTTTTTCCCTTTTTTTATTTTTGTGACCCCGACCTTCGTGCAAATAGCGGCAGCACAGACCACATAGGCATGTTGTTTTTATACACTGTGTACACATACAAGCTAAAATACAACTTTGAAGTGTTTGGTAGCAGCTTTCTCGCACTATTTTCAAGGACTATGCATGCTAATACAGCAAATTTTTCATGGTTCCTGTCAGATTGTTTTAACATATATGGCATTATCTTGTTCCTGAATGGCAAAGCTACATAATGATGCTATTTATACAGTCATGTTGCAATACCACACAAGTTTATGAGAAACTAAGACTTCAAATGCCTTTTTCCCACTTGCATGTTTTTAGACATAACACGTAGCCTTAAGGCTGTTTCACATGCCGCGATTGCAGCGAAAAAATCGTTCGGTTCGCTGCAATTGCGCTGTTCGCAACCGTCGCTAATGGCGGTTTCGTTTCACATGGACAGCGAACAGTCCGCAATTTTGCTCTGCGACTGGAGCGCCAAGTTCTTGCCACCACTCTTTGTGGCATGCACGAATGTAATATAATAATATGATATCATGAAGTTTCCGTAAATGGTAACGAAGGGCCCGCTTTTTTCGTTATTTAAAAACACTTTCCAGTCTAAATTCATTTTAAAATGCACAGTATCGGTCATTACCAAAACAAATGAGTCGACTCTATTTCGACGGCTTGGCCGGGCCAGCCCCATTTCTATTTTCGACGGGTCACGACCAAAAATCGCTCCCACCGCTGCGATCAAAGCGAAAATTTCCAACATGTTGGAAGCTCGCCGCGGACTGCTGCGGTGGGAGCGAACTGCCCTTTTTTTCGCTGCGAGCTAATTTGCATCCTGAAAATCACTACTTTCTGTGTCATGTGAAACGGCCTTTACAGGGCATTGTGACATGTTCTTATTGACTCACAATAACAAGTTTGATACCGATGTGTTCGTATCGAATAGACCTGACCAATGATGCTATTCATTTTCTTCTATATCTTGTTCACCAAATTATAATTCATGATGATTGTACACAATATGTGGCGAAAATTTTTCACTCGTGTTTGTATCCATTTATTTCACATGTGAAGTTTGTTGTAAACAAAGAAATTAGCATAATCAGCTAGACCTGCACTCTGGAAATCTGGATATATACTTTGTTTTTGTGTTTGACATAGTGAAATTGCTGGAAAGCTCCGTAATAAATATGCTAATTGTGTATTATAAAAATTTAATATCTTCTGTTCTAATGCAGCTATCGAAAATCTGCTTAGAGAATCGGAATCTGCAGAAGAAACATAATATGTGTATCAAGTTTAATTCAATTCAAGCAATTAATAATAAAAAAAATTTTTCCAGACCCATGCCTCCCTTTAACATTGACTCTATGGGGAACTTGATGGTGCTAGGGATTAGTTTGGGATATCAGGCATATCAGGTATTTCGGGCGTCATAGAAATCGGTCGTCAACTGTACGTAAATTACCGATCGATACATGTGCACGCCTAGCTCACTGTTTACCATAAATTCATAATTGAAACCTGTTGTCGCTTTTTAGTGCACACTCGCTAAAGGTTGTCATGTGGTTCTGTGCATGGTATATACAATCAGCAATAGCTTTTTGTTATATTGGGATACCCAGGCAACGACATTGTGTGGTATTAATATGAAATACTTCATGATGTCGCTCTCATTGAAGAAACATTACTGTGACAAACTGCTGTCATTTTTATCAGCCAGAGGGTACATTAGGGCAGAACTTGCCCCCTTCTCCGAGTCACACCAGCACCTTGCCTTCAAGATTGTGTCAAATTACGCAATATGAGATAATCACACTTGGATTGCAGTTATTAGTGTCGACAGGGCGCAAGCCCGTTTCGTATCGCAATAAGAGGGCAAGGTGCTTGTGGGCAAGGTGCACCTTGCCTTCTAACTGCGATACAACACGGGCTTGGGTTCTGCCGACACTCATAACTGCAATTTAAGCGTGATTATCTCAAATTTGGTAATTTGATGGTGCTTTGCATTTCTGTAGTAGATGTAATGAACGGTCGATTGACTGCAGAAGCAGCAATTTAAACAGCTGTTCTGCAGTAACTATCTCATGTGTTGTTTGCGAATGCTAGAACGGCAGAAATCAGTGATTTTCACACATATCCTCGTGCTCACTGTCACTATCATTGCACTGCAGAAAAAATATTCTAAGGAAAAGGGCAGGTGTGCTGTTTTCTTTAGGATTGTTGTGAAAGCTACCGTCCTTTTCAAGGGCGAACGAAGCTCACCGAGGCACAGAGCAGTACTTCACACCATTGAGCACCACTCGATCGCCATCGGGACGATGTGTGACGGGTATGCTAGTCCACATGTTTTCAGGACCGGAGCTGTAATAATGATGTAATCTCCATTGACGGCATTGGCTGCGCACATTCAGCATGGCCTGTGCCGTGCAACCCCGCGCCGTCGATGAGGCATCGCGACGTTTTGCTTGCGGTATCTACATGCTTGTAGATGCAGGAGAAAGGCATGCTCATTGAAATTTCAAAACACTCAAACTAATTAGTATCGCACCGTAGAAAGTGCAGATGACTAATGAGAATATTCACACATAGTTTCACTTTCTCACCAGCAATGCGGTCGGTGGCATCGATGTTCTTATCGGCCATCTGGGAGGTTTCTTGGCTCTGTCGATTGGGCTGCAACTAAAACAAATTTATTATTGCACTTGAAAGCATTCATCTTGGGCTTAGTTGACTCTCGTGAGGCTTCGTTCGACAAAGTTCCCGCCCGAAGCAGTCGATCCACGCACAGGAGCAGATGCTGCTGCAGCGCAGTCGAGAACGGAATCCACAAACTGACGTCACACTCAAGAGGGTGCCACTCTAAAATCTCGAGGACAATAGAGGTTGAACAACTTTATGTAGTTAAAGTGGATTCATGTGCATGAAATTCCCAATGAAAGAATGCACGTGACACATAATGGCTATCTTGAAGTATATAAAATGGGGCACTTGTAGAAAAGTTATGTTCAATGGCCCAAAATCTGTGGACATTGTGCTCAAACAAGTGTCATAAGTAGTGGATTTTAAATTAAAATTAAAAGGCTTACTTACTTCAAGGAACACTACTAGTTCAGTGGAATAAATTAAATCGCGAATTACTTTCAGCACCCTCTTTCGCATTGTTCTCAGCACAGTTGGACAGCATGCTTTCAAAATAAAGGCCACCGCTCTCTAGTATACGTGCGTGCACACTTGCAATCTTGTAATCGTTTGTTGTATCTTTTTTTCCCATTTAGTTTTGTATTTGCACTACACATTGTGCATGTAATTTTTTTTGTCCATGTACTTGCCATTGTTTTTGTCAACACTAAGTTTATGTAAACCCTGCTAAAATCACCAAATGGTGATTGCAGTAAAAGAGAAAAATGATTTTTCTCACCTTGGTAGATTACCATTTCACAATACCGAGAGCACCACTTTTAACGGGAGAAAATTCCTGGTGAGAGGGGTAGGGGGGAGTGAAAATAAAAAATTGAGGTGGTTATACAGTATCACCTTGAAATTGCTGGGCAAAATTCATCATTTTTAATGGAGTCTGCTTGGTTACATACAAAGGTTGAAGACAGGGCGTGTTCGTAAACAATGACTGTAGATTGTACAGTGCAGCTGGGCGCTAACGTTGAACAATAAGCTCTATTTCGTTTTCTGGTGTTTTTTTGTTATTTTTATACTTAGCCCATGTTTCTGTATTTATTATGCCTGAAAAGGGAATACAATTTATTGTTGCATGCTAGCATTTTGTTTGTTGTGTGTTTACCTTTCTTGTGTCCTGTTGTGCAATACAATCAAATGGTCATGTGTAGTTCCTAATTGGTAAAAATGAAGGGCATTGTCCTCTGAGGGGGTCCATGGGCTTGACCACAGTGTAGGAAAAATCCTTTATGTGTTGGCACTTTCCACACACCATAACATAGGGCACATCTAGATAATGTTTGGCTGTAGTACATCTGCCGACTGAAGTTGTAGGGGGAGAGGGGCGGCACTGTGATGAGGGGGTGTGATAGGGACTGAGCGCCGCACTGATTTTGCGGTGCTGATTGTCATCCATGCTGATCGCCGCTATTTCTTCAAGAAGGCTGTCGTGACTGAAACCATTTCGGCCGTCTCATTGTACACTTTGTGGCGTCGAGACTGCATGCGCCTCGCTTCCCGGCTGGGAGGACAATTCCCAAATTTGGACGGCTGTCAGTAGGCCGGCATGTCTTCAGCAACTTGTTCGCAGAACCGTGAACACCCTTACCTTTCTGCTTGACTCTAGTTCCAATCCTAACAATGTATTTTAGTGTACCTGTAATCCTCTGTTAAGGCGATTTCACTGCACATAAGGAATGCTAAGCCGTGAAGACACCTACTCAGGGGAAATTCGCACGGCCGCGAAGTCGCACTAAAAGTTAAATTAACATATTCTCCTCGCATCGATTCATCATTTTTTAAGTTTAAATGTCTCTAATACCGGCTTTTATGCTGTAAGTATAGTGAACTTTAAAATATTACATGAGGTTCTCATTTGCATTCCAATGAAAGTGAAATCTCTTACTACACAAAGTTGTTTCTGCTTTTAACCAAAAACATTGCGTTTGTACAGGCCTTGTTTCAATTTTTAAAAGTATTGCGCAGGTTAGGTTATGACAAATATTCTCATTTTATAATATGTGATATATACTATTTGAATTCAATTAGATATTATCGACCAAAATTCACTATTTGCTTTGAACCCAGAATTCACTATTTGCACGAGCCTAATATATTGCTGTTAAATGTTAGCAAGGCATTCAGCTATATTTTAAATCCTTAAAAAAGCATGAGGGGGTAAGAGCAAGAAGTTGTTTAGTAGTTGCACATTCATAATAGGAATTCTCATCTTTCAGGCACCACATGTATGAAGCTGGCAAGAAGAGAGTTACTTCTGCACAGCGAGTTCTACCCACAACCACTGCATATTCATCATGGAAGTGTAGTCAGAATCAACCTCTCCTCATCAACTAAAGGACTACCGTTTACAGTTGTCAGCCATTGCACCGGCTGCTGTTCTCAGGAACTTTTTGACATTGCGTCATGTGTGACACTGTGCACATTATGCAAGGTGTGTGCTCTTCAGTGTTTCTGGATGTTTGTTCTTTGCCGTTCTGTCAAAATAGAGTAGCAATGGTGAGTGACCATCCGCTCAATGATAATTTATGTGCCATAAGAGGGCACCATATAGGGCTGTGTTTTGTTTTGACTCATCTCATTTTCCATTCTTTATATATTTGTTGTGCCAAGTAACTAATCCTGGCGATAATGGCCGTGGTGCCAGAACGACAGACGCGAAGCAGAAAGACTGGAAAATGAAATAGATCGGAAGAAAAATGTAGGCCGAGATCAGTTAACCTGCCAAGTGAACAATGGAGTGTTTTGGAACTAAATTCTTTAAATCATTGTGGGTTTGAGATAGAATTAGTTTAGCTGACAGTCGTTTTATATGTATCTATCTGTATGTATATATTTTTAAGGCAATAAATATAACTTATGATCACATTTCTCTGTTGGTTTATGTACTATAGTATAGAAGTTTGTGACAGGAAATTGTGTGTACAATCAACAGTTATTTTATAGTTTTCAAACATTATTACAGTGAAATTTTGGTAATATTGTCACTGGCTGAGTAGATACCTGAGAATGATGACGACGAAGCGCTGAGGGGAACGTGCACGGACTGCCGCAGCGTTGTATGCATTTGCTTGCAAATATATTCTTAGCATATACTTTCTTCCCCGTAACATCATTGGTGGAGGTGCCGGGGTACAACTCGCTATACAGCCCAGGAGCCGGATCTTCGCAGCGGACGGCGCATTGCAGCTACCACGATGACTGACCAGACTACTCAATGTCAACAAGACCTGTCAGCTCCACAGCCGATCGTTGTGGTGAAACCTCGTGACCCAGGCCCATTCAGCGGCACAAATGGCATAGACGTCGATGACTGGCTGGTTCTGTATGAGCACGGCAGAACTCTGGTACGAGACGCATCAAGAAGAGTTAACCAGCTGAGAAATCTGTCAGCATAAATTATGCTATTTATTTGGGAAACCCATCGGACAAGTGGTCGCAAAGAAAGAGTTTGCGACTCGTGCTCAGACATCTACAGAGCCGTACATCGGGTACATTCAGGACATGTTGGCTCTGTGCCGCAAGGTCGACAAGGACATGCTTGAGGAGGACAAAGTAGGACACATCCTGAAAAGAATTGCTGATGACGCCTTCAATTTCCTGCTGTGCAAGCTGCTCGACGGTGGAGTCGGTCATCGAAGCATGTGATCGCTTCAAACAGGCGAAAAGTCGGCGGATCATTCACCGATTTGACCGCCTTCCCAACACGGCGGCTACGTCCTCCTACGAAGATTTGCAAGATTTGCCCACATTACATCAACCACCAGCGCCGGAAAACGTCGCCAGAATAGTCCGTCGGGAACTCAAGGCTATGGCACCCTCTATGTCTAGCGTCAGTGCTCCAGGACACAACCTCGCTTCTGTTTCAATGATACAAGTCGTGGTTCGCCAAGAGGTAAAGATTATGGGCATTTCGCCACCTCATCAAAATGCCCCTGCTACTTCCAGCTCGGCTCCTCCAGTCGTTGCGGCTGCTACTCCAAACCGCACCTTTGCGCCACATAGAAACCCAGCCGAGTGGCGCACTCATGATGATCGGCCCATATGTTTCACATGCCACCATATAGGACACATCGCTCGCCATTGCCACAGCCATTGGGCCTCATTACCTCGAACAAGCTTCTATGATTTGGGACTTCGCTCCGAATGTTCGCCTTGTGCCCCGACCTACCTTGCTGACACAAGTGCAGAGCATATTCTAGAACGTCGGATCAGCCACTCACCATCGCCCCTGCGTCGTCAGTCCTGCTCGCCCCAACCTCGTCGCTCTCGGTCTCCCTACGACCACCACTCAGAAAACTAGCTGGTGCTGCCCCCGGAGGTGACGCTGCATGCACGACTCGGACTGCAAATCCTCTGATTACTCCCGACTAGCGGTGCAACCTTCTTTCAATTCTCGTCGATGGTTTATTTGTAACTACTCCTATTGATACCGGTGTCCAAATATCTGTGATGAGCTACGACCTCCGCCGCTGCACCAAAAAGTTTTGACGCCAGCAATTGTGCCTACCGTCCGTACAGCGGATGGGAGAACTCCTGCTGTGCTTGGAATGTGCACTGCACGATCAACGATTTCTGAGCGTCAAACTTCAGTTCTGTTTGCTTTACTGGAAAATTGCCCTCACGACCTCATCTTTAGACTTGACTTTCTGACCTCACACGCTGCGCTCATTGACTGTTCTGAAGGTCTTCTTTGGCTTGAACTCCCATCTTTCTCAGAGACCGTCTCTACCAGCCCACCTCGTCTACGCTCTTTCGATTTCCTCCGACTTCCACCGCAGTTCAATTCCAGCTCTTGCCATCCGCTCCAGTACCCGATGGTGATTATATTGCTGCCCCAATTTCCGACATGGCCATGACGCGTAATGTCACGCTCCTCCACATGGTGGTTACCGTTAAGGACAACCGAACTTCCTTTCCCATTTTCAATTTTGGCTTCTCGGCGCAATTTATTCCTCACGACATGCGACTTTGCGCGTCTGACACCACTGGTCGACCACACAGTTTTCGCCCTAACCACTGATTTGCCACCCGCTTTTTCATCAACGTCACTCTCCTCGTGTTCCTGTTCTGACCTTTTTATGTGAATGATATACTACAAGCTCACCTCTGAACAAGTCTCTGCTCTCCGCCACGTCCTCGCTTCTTATCAGGACATCTTTGACTTCAGCGACCGTAATTTGGGCCAGACATCTGTGGTGGTAAACCATCGCATCAATACCGGTGAGCCTCGACTCATTCGCCGCCGACCCTACCTTGTGTCAGCCCCGGAGCGTGCTATTATACAGCGGGAAGTAGATGAAATGCTTCATAAGGGCATAATCAAACCCTCATCTAGTCCCTGGTTCTCACCCGTTGTACTTGTTAAAAAGGACAATAGCTAGGGATTTTGTGTTGACTACAACCATCTCAACCATATTACCAAGAAAGATGTCTATCCTCTACTGCACATAGATGATGCACTCGATTGTTTACATGGTGCTCAATATTTCTCTTCAATAGACCTTCGCTCAGGCTGCCGGCAGATCGCTGTGGATGACAAAGACAGAGAGAAGACGGCCTTCGTGACTTCTGATGGACTTTATCAGTTCAAAATGATGCCTTTTGGATTATGTAATGCCCCCGCGACTTTTGAGCGCATGATGGACTCTCTCCTTCGAGGTATGAAGTGGACCATGTGCCTCTGCTACCTTGACAATGTTATTGTTTTTTCGACTACTTTCAAAACCATCTTACCCGTCTGTTCACAGTGCTTGATGTTTTCCGACGTGCCAAGCTGCAATTTAACTTGTCCAAATGTCGCGTTGAGCAATGCCAAATCTGCGTACTAGGCCTTCTTGTTGACGCTGCGGGCGTACAACCAGACCCTGCGAAAGTCCGAGCTGTTTGAGACTTTTCTACAACCCGCTCAGCCAAGGACGTCCAAAGCTTTCTGGGACTGTGCTCCTACTTCCATCGTTTTGTCAAGAATTTCGCTGAAGTAGCCCGTCCTCTAACCAGCCTCCTCAAAACAGATGTCCCATTCACCTGGGTCCAACAGCAAGCAAACGCCTTCTCGTCGCTCGTTGACATTTTCACCAATCCACCAGTCCTAGCGCACTTCGACCCATCTGCCGCCATGGAGCTGTGTACCGATGCCAATGGCCACGGCAACAAGGAATGCACCGTGTCGTCACGTACACAAGCCGACTGCTGTCGTGCTCAGAACAAAATTATTCGATCACAGAACGTGAGTGCTTAGCTCTCGTCTAAGCCATTGCGAAATTCCGACGGTACCTGAATGGCAGACAATTCTCAGTTATTACGGACCACTATGTGCATTGCTGGCTCTCCTCGCTCAAGGACCCTACGGGACACCTTGGTCACTGGGTGCTGCGCTTTCAAGAGTACACTTTTTTCGTGTCCTATAAATCCGGACAACTTCACAAGAATGCCGACTGCTTGTCCCGTCCCCCTGAAATGATGGAAGATGGACAAGAAGCCCTCGTTCTCTCAATTGCAGCTTTCACTGACATAGCTGCTGAACCATGCCGCGACTCCTCTTTGCGTCCTGTTATCAGTGGTCTGCAATTTCCCCATCCTGACCACTCCTTGCAGATGTTCGTCCTTCACAACGACATCTTGCACCACTACAACACCCGCCCTGATGGTGCCGAGCTTTTGCTCGTTTCTGCGCATCTCCGCTCAGACGTTTTGGCTCAGTTTTATGATGCACCCACCGCTGGACACCTAGGGGTGTCACACATGTGTGACCGCATTCGCCGACGATCATTTTGGCCTGGCCTCTCCCATTTTGCGTGACAGTACGTTGCGGCGTGCGACCTCTGCTAGCGCCACAAGACACCTGCGCTGGGGCCTGCTGGTACCCTCTAGGCCATTGAAATACTTGACGAGCCATTTTTCCGAGTCGGCCTCGATCTTCTAGGACCTTTTTCTGCGTCAGTCATCGGTAATAAGTGGATTGCCATCGCTACTGACCACGCGACGCGGTATGCCGTTACACGAGCCCTCCCCACCAGCTGCGCTAATGATGTAGCCGATTTTATTCTTCATGACATCACTCTATGTCATGGTGCTCCTCGTCAGTTGATCACCGGCTGCGGCCGCTGTTTCATATCTAAAGAAGTTAACGATATCCTGCGATCCTGCTCTACCCACTACAAGTTCACTACAGCGTACCACCCACAAACCAACGGCCTCACCAAAGGCCTCAACTGTACCCTGACAAATATGTTAGCGATGTAAGTCTCGATAAGGATTACAAAAATTGGGACATCCACTTACTTTTCGTTACCTTTGCATACAGTTCTTCACGTCACGATACAGCTGGATTTTCACCTTTTTTACCTACTGTTTGTTTATCACCCGCCTTTACCCATGGACACACCATGCTTCATTCTTACGCCATTTCACCGACTGCCTATGCTCGATGCCCTGGCCCATGCTGACATCGCCCGCCAAGTCACCCGGAATCATTTATGTGCCTCGCAGCTTAACCAAAAAAGTGCTTACGACCGCCGACACCGCAACGTACAGTACTCCCAGGGGTTGCTCGTCTTGATGTGGTTACCATCACGATGTGTCAGTCTCTGCGAAAAACTCGTGTCCTATTACGTTGGCCCTTACCGTGTCATGTGCAACGTCACCAGTGTGACCTATGAGATTGCTCCACTTCATACCACGTCAGCAACAGCTTCAGTGCCGACCAATATAGTGCACATCTCGCGATATGAACCATACTGCTCACGCCCGAGGAGGTAATGTCACAGGCTGAGTAGATACCTGAGAATGACGACGGCGAAGTGCTGAGGGGAACGTGCACAGACTACAACAGCG